GCTGCTTGTCTTTTGGCCAGGGGCACAGAGTCCCCCACTCAATGGCCTCCATGTCACAATGTGTTCCCGCCAGAAGCCACCACTTTGCATGGCACTGGCCTCCTTGCTGGCCTGGCTCCTGAGGGTGGGGACGGGCTCCCCAGGGCCCAGAGGTGGACAGGCTGGGCCTATCTGGCTGCTCCTGCTGCTGACCAGGCCCAGGGCACTCCCCTCCCCAGCCCCGGCCCCCTCCACCCCACCTCTGCAGGCCCACGGTGGAGCCACAGAATTGACGGCCACTGACCCTGCGCCCTGAAGGACTTCTGCCACCCAGAGACCACAGAGCTGCGGGGACAGGCTCAGGGCTGCCGTCGGGCTGCCGTCAGCTGGGTCCCATTACCGACCTTGCTCAAGGGCTGTTTCCATAAACGGCTCTGCACACGTAATTATCGGCCCAAGCCTCAGCTGGCTGCAGACCCCAGATTAAAAGGGAGCACCCGCACACTCCGCCACATCAAGCCTGCCAGGGCCCAAAATAGACCCCAGGAGCTGCGGGCAAGAGGGGAGCAATGCCTCCAGCTGGGACCCGGGGAAGGAACTGTGGGGATTTTCCAGAAAGCTGTGGTCACCGAGGCACATCCCCTCTTGCCTGTAGGGAGGGGCTCCCACAAGGAGGTGGGCTGGCGCCCCTCCCCACCCTGTCCCTCACCCCTGGAGTGGCGGGAGGTGGGCACTCTCTACTGTCAGAGCTGGAAAGGCTTTGGGCAATCCTGCAGAGATGGGGAAACTGAGGCCCAGAGGGGCAGAGGCTTTCCAGGGGTCATGGGTCAGACCGGGTCCCTTGATGTGGACTTCCGGACTTGGAGCTACAGTGAAATCAGCGGTCCTGAGGTCCAGCTGGGTGGTGACGCTGCAGCCGGGGAGGCCACCTGTCGGCAGCTGCCCCGGGGATGCTGCTGAAGCCCCCTCCCCCAGGCAGGGCCTGAGAGACCCCGGGTCCCAGGGTAGGGCTCAGGGAGATGCTGCACCCCTCGTCGGCTTCCACAAAGACACAGAGGCCGGCCCCACTCTGCCCGCCCGGCCAGGCCCAGGTCCCTGCAGCTGCCATCGGTGCTCCCCTGCCTCCTGCCGCACTCCTCTCCCTTTACCTTGGCCATCTGCCTCGAGCACCTGCCACGCGGGGGCTGGGGAATGTGGACAGGTTGCGGGTGCCACGAAGGGTCAGATTCAGACTGTTTCCAGGAATAGGAGAAAGAGGGGCTGGCCATGCCCCTAAACCAGACAGGCAGAAAATGCCGAGAGCCCTAAAAGAAATGCATGTGACGAAGGATGGACTCCCATCACAGAAGCTGTCTCCTAGGGGTAGAGCCAGGGAGCCGGGCCCATACCCTCTTAGAAGTGCCGTCGGGTTTTGACAAGGAGACAAGGGCGTGCATGTCTTCCATGCGGAGGCTACCCAATGAGCGCAGGTGCAGAGGCAGCAGGTGAGAGGGCAGCACCCCCCCGGGCTAAGTTCGCATCCTGAGTGAGGGACCCCGCTGGCCCTGTGCGCATCACTCCCACACAGCCCCATTAGGCGGGCTCTGCTCAGTCTTCAGGGCATAAAAACTGAGACTCAGGGCTCGAAGCGACCTGTGCACCATTTCACAGCTCCTCAGCGGCACTGAGAATCAGCCGAGGTTTCCCATGACCACGGGAAGCTGCATACAGGGACAACCAAGGGGTGGGCACCGGGGCACACGGGTTAAGCCGCCGCTTGGAATGCCACATCCCGTATCAGAGTGCTGGCGTGAGACCTGGCTACTCCACTTCCTATCCAGCTCCCAGCTAATGTCCCTGCAAACAGCAGATGATGGCTTAAGTACTTGAGTTCCTGCCACCCATGGAGAGGCCCACATGGAGACTGAGTTCTTGGCTCCTGGCTTCAGCCTGAGTTCTTGGCTCCTGGCTTCAGCCTGGCCCAGCTCTGACTGTTGCAGCCATTTGGGGAGTAAATCAGCAGATAGAAGGTCTCTCTCTCTCTTTGTCTCTCTCTCTCTGTCACTCTGCCTTACAAATAAATAAATAAAGTAAATATGGAAAGCTTTTTTAAAAAAGTGTCTACCATGTCTTTATTTACAATCACTCTAAACTGGAAAATACTCAAATGTCCACTAAAAATAAATTTACTAAGCATAAACTGTGGTATATTCATGCAATGGAATATATCTCATTTATAAAAATAAAAAAGAGCTATAGGGGCTGGCACTGTGGCACAGCAGGTAAAGCTGCTGCCTGCAGTGCTGACATCCCATATGGGTGCTGGTTCAAGTCCCAGCTGCTCCACTTCCGATCCAGCTCTCTGCTATGGCCTGGGAAAGCAGTGGAAGATGGCCCAAGTGCTTGGACCCCTGCACCTGCGTGGGAGACCTGGAAGAAGCTCCTGGCTCCTGGCTTCAGATCCGCACAGCTTCAGCAGTTGTGGCCAATTGGGGAGTGAACCAGCAGATGGAAGACCTCTCTCTCTCTCTCTCTGCCTCTCCTTCTCTTTCTGTGTAACTCTGACTTTCAAATAAATAAATAAATCTTTAAAAAATTAAGAAACAGATTTCTCAGATCCCAACACACATTCATATTTAGCACTCGCTGCATCTAATGATGAGCCAGGCCCCAGGCTGGGTGGAGAGGCAGCTGCTGCTGTGGCCAGAAGAGCTCAGGAAGTGAACTCAGGCAGAGGGGGTTGCTGTGTGGCCCTGGGCGCAGCCCCTGCCTTCTCTGAGCTCATTCTTCTTTTGAAAACAAAGATGTGACTGTAATTGTGAGATGCAAGAGAAGGGACAGGGAGGTCACTGGGTGTCACCGCCCACAAGCCCTGACAGCTCCATAAAATGAGTTTCTCCATTTTACAGAGGGGTAGACAGGCTGGGGGAGGTAGCCTGGAAAGCCCGGGTCGCACAGACGCTGGCAGAGGAGGGGCAGTCCCCGTGCCTGAGTCCCAGGCCTGTGTGCCCTGACACTGTCCAGCACCTGCTGCTTCCAGACGGGGCCGGCGGTCACGGTCAGCATACCTGGCAATGTGTCCACCATCTGTGTCTCCCACCAGAAGGTCAGCGCCCCAGGGCGGGGCCTTTGTTCTGTCCACGGCTATACCCATGGCAGTCAGAACAGCGCCAGGTGCCCAGCACTGTTTGCTGAAAGAATGAGTGGGAAAAGGAAAACTCTCCCTGGTAAGAACCAAAGAACTGACCCTGGCCCCTAGGGACCAGGCGTTGTCCTTCAGGGTCATGGGGCTGGCAAGGGCAGGGCGGGACTGGGCAGGTCCCTAATTCCCATGCAGCCCTGAGTCTCCTAAATCCAGCAGCCTCGGCGCCTCCCCACCCCGTCCTCGGCCCCAGAGGCCAGGAGAACCATGCGTGGGATTGAGAAAGGGGCAGGACGGAAGTGAAGGCGGTCCCGTCATGACCCTGGCCAGCCCTCCGCTGGCCGCGGTCTGTGCCTCGGTTTCTCAGTCTGGAACACAGCGCTGCCTCTGCTCCAGGGCGGACAGGGATTCAGCAAGAACAGGCAGACACGGTCCGGGAGGGGCTGGGCAGGCCTGAGAGGCTGGAGCCCTGCGGACGGGTGGCGGGCAGGTGTCTCCGACACAGAGCCCGGAGGCCCCTCGCTGGACTGACTCCATCACGGCCGGGTGGACGGGAGAGCAGAAGCACCAGGCGGGGATGGGATGGGACAGGCGGGAATTCGTGGTGGAGTCTGGGTCTTGCCTCCCGCCCCAGGCACACGGAGACCCGGGCAGGCCTCACTGGTGCCACGTGGGGAGCCGGCCCATGGCTGTGTGCAGACAGTAGGTGCCGGGCCCACATGCTGAGCGCTCAGGCCGGGCAGGGCTGCGGGCTCTGATGGCAGCCTTGGCCGCCCCATCAGGCCCTGTCAGCCACCTCCTAAAGCACCTGCTCCTCACAGAGGCCTCAGGCGGCGGCGGCAGCGGTGGGAGCCCTGTGGGACGCCCCAGGCTTGGTGCTCCGCCCGCCATCAGCGAGCAGGGGCCAGGCAGGCACGGGCTGGGCTTGTCAGGAGCCAGATGAGGCCGATAGCAGAGGTGGAGCTGGAGGCAGCAGGTGTGGGAGCCTGGGCGTGGGCGTGGATACCGCGGCGACTCTGCTATTAGACCCCACGGTGCTGCAGGGCCCCGACCTTCAGAGCCCGAGGCCCAGGCCTCCAGACACAGGAAGGCGCCCGTCTGTGTCTGAGCCCCACACGCAGCCCTGCTGACCAGGGCGCACATTGCTCCGCCAGAGCCTGGCGCTGCCGCCGAGGGGCCGAGGGGCGCATCCAGTCGGGGAGGCGCTGCTGGCGGCGCCCGCCCGCCCACGACCTGGCATCCGCTGAACACAGAGCTGCTTGTGATCCCACAGCATCGAGGCCCAGATCCTAACGAAACACACGCGAGGGCAGGGCCGGAAGCCGGGGCTGGGAGTCAGAGCCGGGGATGCCGACCTGGATGTGGTGCGTGGCCTTCGGCTGTGCCTTCTTCCTGCCCTAGTGCAGGAAGCAGTGGCTTGAGGACTCCACAAACCTGCTCGTCTGCCGGGTTCCTCTGCCCAAATCCCTTAGAGCGCTCCCTCTACCCTGGAAGCTGACGTCACCTCCGCAAGGTGCAGGTGTGGAGTTGGACAACCCGGGCCTGTCCTGGCCAGGGCCATGTCCAGCCCGCACCACCCTGCCTGTGCCACTGCCTCCCCGAGCCTCTCTGTCTTCACCTGGGTGGAGTGGGGTCCTTCCTCTCGGTGGGTCTCGCGCCCAGGCGAAGGCAACCCCGGGAGTCTCCACTCCCCTCTGCACCCATCCAGCCTGCACGGACCTCTCAGACCCTTGCTGCCCCGCCTGGGGGTCCTCCTCGCCTGTGGGTCCCCGCTCCGGCCAGGGACGCACACACTCCCAGCAGGTCGTGTTCGCTCCCCAGGGGGCGGGCTTGGGCGCCCCACGCTCAGGCCGCGTCCACACGGTCACCGCGGGTCCTGCCCTCCCCAGGACGCACTCACCCATGTTGACGAAGCTCATGACCAGGTCTGCGCGGCCCAGGCGCCGCTCAGGGGGCCCGGCGTCGTCGTCGTCGTCGTCGCTGGCCATGGCGCGGTACAGGTCCAGCATGAAGAGCGGCGCGGACGCGGGCAGGCGGGAGGCGGCGGGTGGCGCGCGGGGCCGGGGCCGCCCGGGCAGCCCGAGCACTGCCAGGATCTCGCGCTGCATGTCGCGGCGCTCGCGCGCTCCCAGGCGACGCTGGGGACAGCCGGGCGGGGGGCGCGGGCCGGGGCCGCCGCCCAGCGCGCACAGAGCCAGGCCCAGGAGCCAGAGCGGCCCGGGGCGCGCCGCCATGGCGGGCCGGGCTGGGCGCTCAGCGGACGCGCATCGGCTCCGCGGCTGGGACAGGAGCCCGGGACCGCCCGGACGGCGAGCGGTGGGCTGGGCTCGACGGCTGGCGGGACCGGGCAGTTGCCGTCCGCGGCGACGGCTAGGGCCCCAGGGCACTCCCGCGGCACCTGTCTCTGCTTGGGGCCCTGTGGACGCGGCCGCCGCCGCCGCCGCCGCCTGGGAACTGGAGCTATTCCCGAGACCCGCACCGTCGGCTGATCCGCCCCGGGCTGCTGCGGCGCAAGAGCTCCGGGCAATCGGGCGGCGCGGACCTGCACCGGCCTCAGCCAGACCCTGTAGCCCGCACCACCCCGGCCTCGCCCCCGCCCGGTCGGGCCAATGGGGGCCCGGGGGTGGGGTCAAGGCTCCGAACCCACGTCCGGGAAGGGTCCGGGTGGAGCCTGATGTCGCCGGTGGTGGTGACTCTAAAGTGCGACCCCGAGGTGGTTTCGGACAGGCGGACATGGTCAGGGTCGTCCTGGGACCCTTCCTCCTGCTCCTAGCCCTGTCCACGCCGTCAGGCCCCTCGCGGGGGCTCGGCCGGGAGACCTCAGGGGCGCGGCGCGGGCCCGGAAGGCTGGGACCTGAGCTCCCGCAGGGCGACCTCGCCCAGGCCGGCGTCCAATCCCGGTCAGATCCGCGGTGTGACCCGGCGGCCCCGCCTCGGCGCGCAGGGAGTCGGCTTCCAGGAGACAGCGACCTCAGTCTGCAGGTAGGGGCGGCCGGTGCTGTCCCGAGGATGGGCGCATTCCTCCACACGCGCAGCCTGTGTGTCGGTTCCACAGCTCCAGCCACCTTCCCGTGCCGGCCTGCGTCACCTGACTGCGCTGCTACGTGCTCCTCCTGAGCCCACACCTGCTCAGGGGCCGCTCCCCGCGCGCCCACCCCCTGGCTCCCGCGTGCTCTCTGGAAGTGCCTGGAGCGGGCCGACCCCGCCGTCCCTTGCTGTGCGCCCTGCGGGCCCCAGGCTGATCCCGCTGCGCTGGAAACACGCACCCACCTCCCGCCGGGCCAAGGAGCTCTGGGGCCCTGCCCGAGCACCCCGGAGCCACCTTTGCGCATCTAATGAATGTCACAGGCCCCAGCGGTCTGCAGGAGAGGGATCCTCACGGAAACGCCTCCATTGCCTCCGCCGCCTGCACACCCTGCCGGTGCCCAGCCTCTCTCCCCCAGCATGTGTTGGTCCGTGGCTGAGGCGCTGCGCTGGGATGAAGCCGGCCCTAGGTTGAGCCGGGAGGCTGGAAAAGCCTGGCTGGGAGGACAGGACAGGCCAGCGGCAGGGAGCGTTTCAGGCAGTGGGAGCTGCCTCAGATCTGTGGGGGCGCAGTGCCCACAGGTGACAGCCAGCACCCTCCCTGTGCCAGGCACCCTCTGCGTGTGTGTCCCGTGTCCTTCTGTGAGGCTCGCACGCTGTGATGCGCTGGGGATCACCCAACCTCTTTTTAACAGGTGAAGCTCACCGAGGCTAAGGGACTTCCCCCAGGTGACACAAAAGTGGCCCTGGGTCAGGGCAGGTGGGCAAGGGCAGGCTTGCTGTGCAGTGGATCCTGGCAAGCCAAGGGGTTGACTAGCCACAAAGGGCCTTTCAGAGCTAGAGGAAGGTCCTAGGCACCAAGTGATTATGGTGAATTCAAGGTCAAAACTGCAGGCCAGCACTGCAAGGCTGGCTGGAATCCTGGCTGCTCTACTTCTGATCCAGCTTCCTGCTAATGCACCTGGGGAAGCAATGGGAGATGGCCCAAGGGCTTGTCCCCTGCTCCCCATGTGGCAGCCTGGATGGAGTTCTGTGCTCCTAGCTTCAGTCTAGACCAACCCTGGCTGTTGCTGGCATTTGGGGAGTGAACCAGCAGACGAAGAAGATACTCCCCCCTTCAAATAAATGTTGAAAAAAGGGAAAACCTACAAATAAGTGTATGATGCCTATGTAAAAATCACATCTTAATTAGTTTTAAATTTTAAAATGCAGAGGGAGGGGAAGGGGGAAGAGATGGGAGGGAGGGAGATTAAATTTTCATCTGCTGGGGCTGGGTGACGTAAGCCAGGAACTGAGAACTCAACAGGTCTCCCACTTGGGCAGGGACCCAACCACTTGAGCTATCACCCATTGCCTCCCAGGATGTGCATTACAGGGAGCTGAACTGGAAGCAGAACCAGCACTGGAACCCAAGGGCTCTGACATGGGCTGTAGGATGAGGGAGATAAAGGACACAGGTATCCCAAACAGCGACTTGACTGCTGCATGACCCACCCCAACTTTAAAGTCACCACCTCACATATTCTATTTTTTTTTTGTTAGATTTATTTATTTACTTGAAAGTCAGAGTTACAGAGAGAGAGAAGGAAAGCCAGAGAGAGTGAGGTCTTCCATCCACTGGTTCACTCCCCAAATGACCACAACGGCTGGAGCTGCACTGATCCAAAGCCAGGAGCCAGGAGCCAGGAGCCAGGAGCTTTTCTGGGTCTCCCACATGAGGGCAGGGTCCCAAGGACTTGGGCCATCTTCTACTGCTTTCCCAGGGCACAGCAGAGCTGGATCAGAAGTGGAGTAGCCAGGACGTGGATGGGATGACGGCACTGCAGGTGGCAGCTTTACCTGCTGCACCACAGTGCCGGGCCCCATTTTACATATTTTAAAATAAATTCTGGCCAGCGCCGCAGCTCACTAGGCTAATCCTCCACCTTGCAGCGCCGGCACACCGGGTTCTAGTCCTGGTCAGGGCGCCGGATTCTGTCCCGGTTGCCCCTCTTCCAGGCCAGCTCTCTGCTGTGGCCAGGGAGTGCAGTGGAGGATGGCCCAAGTGCTTGGGCCCTGCACCCACACGGGAGACCAGGAGAAGCACCTGGCTCCTGCCTTCAGATCAGCGCGATGTGCCAGCTGCAGTGCACCGGCTGTGGCGGCCATTGGAGGGTGAACCAACGGCAAAGGAAGACCTTTCTCTTTGTCTCTCTCACTGTCCACTCTGCCTGTCAAAAAAACAAAAAACAAAAAACAAAACAAAAGTGCCTAAGTAAAAAAAAAAATAAATTCTTTGGGAGATGGTGCTGTGGCACGAAGGGTTGAAAGCCCTGGTCTGCAGCACCGGCATCCCATATGGGCACCGGTTCGTGTTTGGCTGCTCCACTTCCAATCCAGCTCCCTGCTCATGCACCTGGGAAGGCCGCAGAGGAAGGCCCAAGTCCTTGGGCCCCTATACCCACATGGGAGACCTGAATGAAACTCCTGTATCCTGGCTTCAGACTGGCTCAGCTCTCGCCCATTGCAGCCATTTAAGGAGTGAACCAGCAGATAGAAGACCTCTCTGTCTCTACCTCTCTGTAACTCTTTCAAGGCTTTGGTGACTGAGGCAGAGGGCACAGTGAAGATGTTGCCCCCGTGTCAGCTTAGCCACTCTCTGAATGTGCTGCTCTTCCTCCCACATCCCTCTGAACTGCCCTTTGAGTCACACCGTGTCGCCTGGGGCCTCAGATCTTTGGCACTTTGTGCAAGGCTGGGCTCCCGGCTAGACTGCAAGTGGCCCAGTGCTGGGCGCCTTCTTACAACGAAAATCATTGTCTGAACTTAGGTTGCCAGTGTGTTCTCTGAAAGGGCTTCATACTCCCGTAAACCTACACAGCAGGTTTCAGCTGTTTTAAGGGCCTTGGCCCACAATTCAATTCAGCAACAATCACTTGGGCTCTCTGTGCTGTGGCCAGAACCAGAGCTGGACAAGGACTCCACCTGGAGCAGCCCCCGCTCAACAGGGATGGGTCGGTGAACAGAGTCACTCCCAAAGGAGGGATGAAAGCTGTGCTCCCACAGGGGAACCGCCGAAAAGTACCCACAAGGGCAGAGGAGCTGGGCAGGGGCGTAGGTCACATGTGAGTGGAATCCCAGGACACAGTACTGGAAGTGAGACTCGGAGAAAGTGGCGTCAAACCCAGGACTTCCCCCACCCCTGGCAACTGTGTGCCCTGAGCAAGCTACTCACTCCCTCCAGTTTCATCCACAGGAGGGGGTCAAGATCACAGGATTGAGAGCCCAGTACATATGCACTTAGCACAAAGGCTGGACGGCGTGAGCACTAAGTGTTAGCTGTTGTTACTCCATCACTCAAGGCCCCAGCAGACACACCAGCTTTGCACTCCTGTTCAGCGTTTCTCTCACAGAAGCGCAATCAATTACATTCACCTTTTTGCTGGCATCCTTCTACCTCCTACACAGGCTTGCCTGCATGTTTGAGGCATGGAAAGAAACTTCCTGCAGGTGCCACCACCAGCTGAGCTCTGCCAAAAAGAACCTATAGAAAATCTGAAAGAAAAACAAGTGGCTGCAGTCCACATTCTGCAAGGATGGAAGCCACACCGGTCTCCGTGTGCTTCTGCTGCCACGTGGCTTAGCAGGACACGGCAGTTTGGCTAACAAACGTAGGCAGTGCAAGTCCCGTGTTCCGGCAGCTTGCAGAGACCAGGTTCCACAGAGGAGGGAGCAAGCACTTCCTTCAGAACCCGTCAAGCTGCAGACTCCTTCCCAACTGGCAATTTGTCTTCCACCAGCTTTGGCCAACAGGCATTCATCTCACCAAACCCTGGGGTGGTAATGGGAGTAAGGCCAAAGGTCAGGAACACAGCGGCCCGAGTTCTGAGCACCTCTCTGCTCAAGTTCTCCAGCCCTTTCCCGTCGCTGGAGGGGGCTGTAATCCTTACAAAGCGCTGGACGAACAGAAGTGCCCGACTCGAATGGGGTGTCAAGCACGGATTCAAGGTCCACACCTGCCCCCCTCTTACTCTGTGGTGTCAAGGAAATCACTTTCTCATTCACTTTCTTATCCCAGTTTCTCCATCTGTCAAGCAAAGGCGCTATTCTCTGTCTCTGGAACTCTAACAGGGCTGGCGCTGTGGCGTAGCTGGTATAACCGCTGCATGTAGCACCGGCATCCCACACTGGTGCTGGTTCAAGTCCCGGCTGCTCCTTCATCTGGGAAAACAGTGGAGGATGGCCCAGGCGGTTGGGCCCCTGCACTCACATGGCAGACCTGGATGAGGGTCCTGGTGGAGTTCATTCGCTGTGGTCATTTGGGGAGTGCACCAGCAGATGGAGGATCTCTTTCCCTCTTTCTAACTCTGCCTTTCAAATAAATAAAATAAATCTAAAAGATAAATTCTATCGTTTAACCAGAAATGTCAGCAGACTGTAGCAAATTGGCTCCATTCTCTCAAACACCAAGATTTTTGTGACTTCTAATATAAAAATTTTACATTTGGTATTTGTTTAAACATCTAAGTGGGACAATACCTTACATGTTTATGTTAACAATATCCTGATTCTTCGTTGCTATGATTAACAAGGATAAAATAAACAAGAAAAAAATCTATTAATGAGCTGTATAATTTATCCTTTAAGATATCTGGATTTGAATAATGCAATTACACCACCTACAACATTATTATACCCCAGGGTAAAACATTTAAATATACGGTAACAAGAAGAAAACCAGGAAATACAAAACATTTGTTACTGCAAGCAATTTTAATACAAAAGTGTGTCTTGTTTTTAAACAGTTCATTGGTAGAGCTTCAGTTTCTGCCTCAATTAAAACCAATTGAGATAATCACACAGCAACATGGTCGGAGCTGAAGAGGAACAGCAGCTAAAAAACAGGAGCCCCAGACAGCCCCTCTTCACGGTCACTTGGTCAGCTGACTTCGTTACTCACAAAAAAGACGGAAGCAAACGGGACTGGTTAACGAGTGTGCTGGTGAACTCCATTAGGACGAGCCAGTGTTCGCCTTATGTCCACATTGTCAGAATAGGTTCATGGGATTCATTCCTCAGTTTGTGGGAAGTTGATTGACCATTTAAATAAATAGCAAAAAATGCAGATAAACAAATCTGTGATTCACAATGCCACCAAGGAAGTCTCCTTGCCAAGGGTCTGGGTCCCGGGAGCACAGGTTAGTGGTGGCGAGGCTGGATAGGAAGTTACAAATCGGCTTACAATCCTAGTGTTGTGACGTTTTCTGAACAGTTACATTTACCCCTGAATGCTAGCAGCTATTTGTCCTGTAAACACCCAGTACTGAAACAGTATTCAAAGACAGTATTGCGATGAGCTCCTTCTGCTGTATCATGTGCAAATGTTACCTAGATGAGGTTCCCTCTCTTTAGCTAAAATCACACAACATTAAAACAATGGAAAAAGCAATTATAAGTGCCCTCCCCTCAGTTCTTGTTAATTGAGGTGTCTGTAATTTACAAAAAAAGAGCTCCTTAAACACTGCAGGATTCTTATTTTTTTTTTTAATATAATTTATCTTGCTGAGACAGCAAGTCAAGTTTATAAAGAAGATGCATTTAGGAATAATCCTAAAAGATAAAGCAGGTTTACAACCCTGCACCGTGCAGAGACCCTAGTTAGAGGCTTTTTTTTTTAATACACATTCTTTTTTTGACCTTTTCACTTGTTTTCCTCAAATATTTCATTTCTGGGCCCTATCCATTACAGGGTTACCAGGAGGCAAATTTTATCTACATAAATATTCACATGAAAATAGTAACTTACAAAAAGAAAAAAAAATAAGGCAGCTTCATAACACAATTTTTCTTTTACACTTTTAACAATATAACTTCTCCCGTTCAGAATAAATATACACCCAACGTATGGAGCAGGATTCGAAGTGGATAGTGGCTTGGGGGTGCTTGTGCAGTGTTATCGCTTGGGGCCCGGAGTCCTGGGGGAGGCAGTGGTGGTCTTCTTGGACATGGTGGGGATTTTGGAAGGTTTGCTGAGCCCTCTCCTGGAGTTGCCCTGGCCCCCTGCAGCACTGCTTTCTGAAGTGTCTGAACAAGCAGACTGTGTCTCTAAAAGGTCAAAGTCAGAGGCATCGCTTCCCCGACGGCTGCTGGCTCGACTCCCAGCTCGACTTCCGGCCCGACTTCCGGGGCGACTGGCTGACTTTTTAGGGTCTGGAAATCAGGAATAAAGCAGACAACTTAACAGACACAGCACAGGAGTGGAGGAACAAGTGACCAGGGGCCGGGATTCTGGTCCTAATACCACCTAATATGCTGTGTGGCCTTGGGCCAACCCTCATCTGCGCAGAAGCTGCTGAAGCCTCTTTTGGCTTGCCATTCTGCTCCAGACTGCCTCTGACAAGGAGAAAGCAGCTTCTACCATAGCCAAAGTGGAGTCAGGCAGGGCTGCTTGACTGTCTCAGCACAGACAGGTCAAGCCACTGGGAAAGGTGCAGGCAGCCCGAGAGTGGGGGTGCATGATGGGAAGCAGAGAGCCAGGAAGCAAAGCCATTTTCCTAGGTTCCCAGCAGGAACCTTAGCAGGTGTACAGATGGGATTCGCCCCCAGAGCTGTCAGTTCACCAGCAGCCACAGTAAATACATGGTATTGGAAAATCACTAGCAAACAGCCAGCGCCAACACTGGGCTGGCTCCCGAGGACAGCCAGCTTCAGGAGGCCCTCTCCTCCTTTCCACATCCTCTCTGATGTGATAGTTTTGGGGGCTGTGGCCATGTCTGCTCCCTGGAGCAAGCTCAGAGCTCACCGGGGAAGTGCTCCCCCTCTTCACCAGCTTTCTGGAGGGCAGTGAAGTGTTGCTGACAGGCTGCTGTTTCCTGGCCACTGCCCCTCACCCCTCAGCCTAACATGTGGGTCATGGGACAGACACTTACCTGCCCGGTTAGTTTTGGCACCTGTGGAGGCTGGCGAAGAGCTATTGCTAGTATCACCAGCAAGGGATGTTCGACTAGAATGAAAAGTTGGTGTTGGTCGTTTCAACTTGCTGCCTGTTGATGGAATAACCTTGAAAAAAAATTAAAATGTCATATTTACTCAGTAAAATCACCAATAGAAATTTAATTTCGAAAGGTCTACTTAGGGCTCCCAAATCTGGCCAGCTGTAAAGCAAATTAAAAGTCCAGGAAAACAAAGATTTATTCTGAAAGTGTCCTAGGTGATGTATTTGATGATTCAAATTTTTATGTTTCAACTTAAAATTTCAAAATGTCTTACAAAACCTTTTATCTCACTAACAAATTTCGATTAGAACTGGGAAAAAAATCCTCAGTTGGTAAGATTATAATAGCTATAGCAAACAGAATTAGGGTGAATGAGTAAAGAAAAAAGAAACTCAGATAGTGCTTTGTATCCATATTCTGGAGTTAGAATGTGAGGCTTAGCTCCACTTACTTAACACAGGGATTCAAACACTGCTCCATCTCTGTCACTAAGGCGCTGAAGGCACTTCAGTCAAGCTCTTTCAGTCTACACCCTCATTGGCAAGATGTAAATAAAATGACTAGACTTGTGGATCAGACAAGTTATGAGAAAAACAGGAGTGAGGCTGTGATCCATACCGGGAGAGCTGGCTTTGAGTCCGAGCTCCAGGACTGATCTAACGTTTGTGTCTCCTTCTCTCTTGGGAAATCAGGGATAACCCCTGCCTTTTGCACACCATGTCTGCCATGCTCTCTTGTTCAGTCCACCCAGCCACCCAGCCTCCTCACTTATTTCTCTGACGGCCCAGGCAGGGTCCTCTGGGCTTGTTCCGGTGTTGTTCACTCAGCCTAGACAGTTGTTGCAGTACCTCCGATCCCCACTTCTACTTGATATTTTCATGGCTCACCTTCTTGTTTCCTTCAGGGGGCTCGGTTCAAAGGATGACGTCATTAGAGAGGTCTTGTCTCACTCCTCCAACACTGCCTGCAGCTTTCTATTCTCTTCCCCTGCTTCATATTTCTGCAGAGTACTTACCACTATCTGCTTGTGCCCTATGTTTCTTACATAAAGTTTAAACTCCATAAAAGCAGGGACTTTGTTCACCCTCACTTTCTCTTAATAAAAACTTGCTGAGTCAATACATGCAGTAGGCATTTCACCAGCTGGGAGACAGCTGTCTATTAATGCTGATGTTACCAGGAGGAGCTATATTTCCTATTTGAGTTCAGGTTTTTATTTTAGATAGTGGTAGACTTAATTTGGGGAAAGAGTATCTTGTATCTGTTTTAAATATCATTCGCACTGTATCCAATGTGATCAATTTTTTTTAATCAATTGTTTTCCAGGACCTTTAAAATGTATATAGAGAAGAGTAAAGCAACCCATGTCATCGTGTTTGTTGTATTTCTTTAATGTGTGAAGCAAAAGCAAGCGACAGAGAGTGATTAACATTCCCATACAGACTCCTGGCCCACACAGGAGGAGGGCGCCAGTTTCAGAAGCTGTGGTTCCTGAGCACCGGCCTGGGCTAGGGATCCAGGTCGGGACGTGGCCTGGCTACTGAGCACTGGTGAGTAAGGAAAGATGCAAACTCGAAAGGAAATGAAACAAAAGATAAAAACTTAAGACCAAACAAAAAGGCTGATCTATTAAAATCATGAGAATTTGTACTTTAGCATAAACACTTAAAGTTCTATAATTTTGAGATTTTCATGAAACTGGAGCCATTAGGGATGAGGAAAGGCAAGATCAGCAGGTTGAATCTTGGGGTTTTAGTGGCAATAGGTCCCCAAATCATGTTTTAAACAAGACACATTGCTGAACTGGAGTTTCAACGTGGAGCGGAGAAGCCCAAAGCAGCAGCTCATTCACAGGCACTGGCTTCTTGTGCCTCTGCGGTTTCGCCCACAGAGGCTTTACAGGATAAGACAACACCACCTTTGAGTTCCTGAGGCACAAGAACCCAGTGCTTCCCGGCAGGAGCTAGAATGCAAACTGGACGGCTACCAGACAAGCTGCTCGTCTGTGTTCTCTTTCTGAAACACTGCTCTTCCCAATGTGTTTGGGGATTTTAACTGCTGTATTTGAACATACTTAACTGCTGGCATGTATGTTCAAATCAGGGTTACAGAAACCGAAATGCCTAAGCCAAGAAATTCAGAAGCTAAACTCTTGAGCCTCAGAGCAGTGTTCACAATTACTATGCTTGGCTGAGGTAGGCAGCACCCATGCCTCAGACCAGTCACCCTGGGGAGACATCGCAGGGTGGGTGGTGCCAACCACTCTTCTGTTCTAAGCAAAGATAGAACACTGGTGAACATGCGCCCTAGTTGAATTTCAAGTGTTCATAACTCGTCTGTGTATCTGACATTTGGAGACTTCAAGAGGCCCAATTAAAAACTGTATCAGTACGCAAATCACCTGGGATAGCCACTGATTACCATCCCGAACAGATATTCTACATAATCTAGTTTTAGATATAGTTGTTAAATAGTTGTTGAATAATCTAGTTTTAGGCATCTCTTATTTATCTCCAAATTTGGTGAATCCGAGTTAGAAACCCATGAAAACACTTGACTAAATGAATCAGCTGTGCCAGCAAGCACCATAAAGATCGAACAGCGCACGGGCTCGTGTCGGGAAGAAGAGCCGGGCAAGTTCTTGGCATGAGTGAGGATCTCATCTTGATTGTGTCCGTAAGTCAGCAAAGCCATACTCTACCTCGGGGCTGGGCAGCTGGAGGTCAGGATAATGGCTGTCCCTGACAGGGGTGCCAGCTTTACTGTTTACCAACCAGGGTTTGTCATAACAGCGAGAGAACTGAAGTGGAGTCTGTGAAACGGAAATCCAAAGGGAAGGATGGGAACAAGTGAAAATGGAACAGAAAGGGAGCAAGTTGGGAACAGAAAAAAAAATAAATAGAAGACACTAAATTTTAAAGAAACAGAAAACAAAATAAAACGTACATCAGTCCAATGGGAGGAGAGGGACCAGGCAGAAAGGCAACAGCATTCTCCATACATAACCTGCCATTAACAACAAACCTATCTGACAGCTCTGGCTGGACACACAGTGCCTAGATTTACAAAACTGGGAGTCCAAGGAAAGAAACGCTTCTGACCTAAAAACAGCCTGAGTGCACATTTCAGTAAGGGTCCCAGGAGTCGTCTTAAAGCTCACGTATCTGTGTGATGCCAGGGCCTAGGCATTCTTGGTCTAGGTGGGCTGGGACTGTGTGTTTTCCTGTTCCTCTAGCTCACCAGGCTTTCAGAGGCTACACTGAACAGAACAGCTGTCTGCAGAGGCGTGGACGGGGAAGAAATCGGCAATGGAGGACAATACATACCTTGGTGCCACTGGCTGGGGTGGCTGGAGAAGATGGCATGGATGTGCAGCTGTGGTTACTCTGACTGGCACTTGAGCTGGATCGTGTAGGGGAAGCTGCCCGGGAAGACGGTTTGGACCTTCGACCTCGTGATCGGAAAGGGGTCATTCCCTGGGATGCCCCCTCTGGCAGGATGAATTTCTCTCTAAGTTCAATGTTAGTTCTACCTCGTGCTAAAAAGGGAAAAAACACATACACATAGAATGTCGGCTAGTCTTAAAAAAAAAATACATCTTTGATGGTCATACAGCTGCTTGACCCCATGATAACAGTTATGTAAGTTACAGTCCTAGAACCATCTGTGGGTTTTTTAAAAAGAGACGAACTCATGACTTGTCAGCTTTGTCATGATTCTTACAGACAGCAGCAGACACATTAAGCAGTAAGTCCCTTGGTTTGCTGTAATAAACAAGTCTCAGTGTACAAGGTCCCACCCCATTCTGCTGCTGGGATCCTGTTGTCCCACTGTCCTCTGGGGTAAGCACTGTAATGGCTCAAGGGAAAGCAGATGCAAAAGTTCACAAACCTGAAGTCAAAACCATTCTTTCCTCTCTCATAGTACATGTGTACTTTCTGTTCAATTTTTGTAAGATACGTGGTAATGAATAGTGGAGAGAAATAGATTACTGAAATTGACATTGTCCAGACTCTGGTATTTGAGCTGACAACAACCGGAAAGAAAGGGGAACTCAGGGGAGCAAAAAGATGAGGACAGAATCACTAAGAAGTAAACATGTGGGGAGAGAGAGAAAGATCCCGACCATGCACAGAACTTGCCAGTCAGAAACTGTTAGGTCAAAAACTGAAAGCAATGAAAGGCTGCATGTAGGAGAGGGATGTCAAGGTGGAACAATCTGGAAGCTGTACTGAAGGCCAACAGGCGCGGTCTTGTGGCTTTCTGGAGCTCTAAGACAGACCAGAACTGGAAATCTGGATTCAGGCAGAGGGTATCAGATACAGCCAATGCGAACATTCAATGTGAAAGACAGCACTAACTTAAGTTGCAGAAAATCCTCTGGAATACATCCTTAGATTATTCTTCACTGAATGACGCTCTCCTGTGATAACCTCTATTCTTCCTCTTCCTAGACTGTTCACTTTTTGGAAGGTACTAGACAGACCTGCACCAATGGGACTGCTTGGGGAAGCTGGGCCATGAGGAATGCAATGTTTGTCACCAGATTCTTCACTTTGCTCAGAAACCATAAGCCCAGCAGATTTCAGGTCACTGTGCCCAAACTCTTTGCTGCTCTACCCCATTTGCCTTTCAAGGAATCTGAGGCATATTGATAGGACTAGATTTTAGATCAGGTGGCATGAATGTCCAAACACAGTGGTCCCAAATCCCAGTCCTTCTCAACTTATATGCTCCCCTAAGGGATCAAAAGCACTAACTTGGAGCCTCTGAGTTCCAGCCCAGGCCCTACCACCAACGGGGATCCTTCCTGCTCTGGGCCTCCCTTTCACCAGAGGCAATCAGACCAAGAGGTCCCTATGAGTCCAGCGTGTCTGGGTGGTCATGACTTAGGGGTACTTGACATGCTAAATGGTATTCTCCCACAATCCTGTGTTTCCTTCCTCCTCAAGCCCCCAAAATACAAGCTTCTCAAGGTTCACTCTTTGGTTCTTGATTCTCTATTCCTCCATTTTCCAGATGTTAGTACTTTCCTGTGTCTATACTGATGATTCTCAAAGAAAATCTTCAGCACTAGCTTGGGTTCTTTACTAGAGCTGATACCTATGGAATCATGACTTAGCCCTTTTCATTTGGTGGTTGATAAGGCACCCAGCACAGTGGTAGGCACACGGCAGGCAGTAAGATAACACTAATGAATGAAAACCACTCAGCTGAGAATCAGGACACCTAAATGAATTGTTTGTGGTCCTAACCCTTAAAGAAATTTCAGTGGTATGGTTTGAACCTGGTAAACATTTAATAGCTCATTTCTGAGTAAATTATGCCAGGGACAAACAAACAAACAAACAACAGAATGAAATAAAAGGAAAACTTAGCAACGACATCTCACTTGAGGGCAATGAACGACATTTTCAATGTTTTACAGTGGGTCATCTGTAATAACATAATGATAGCATCATGTTCCTCTGTGTACTGTACAATTTCCAAAGTGTCATCACATACAGCACTGCACCTGACTGTCATCAGTATCTTAAAGATCACCTCGTAGGAATCATGAGGGCAGCACGCAGCACTCAGAGCTCTGGTGCCCATCACCTGGTCCCTGCTGCCGACTCCTCCCCATAGTCCCATCTGGCTACTACCTTCACACACTGGTCTGCAGTCCCACTGGGTAAGTCACTACTTACGGTCCCCAGCCAGTCCTGCTATGGAAGCTTCTGTTCATCTGAATGTGTGGTTTCCTGTCCTGGGAATGGCCGGCTTCCCTCTGCTATCTGACAAGAGTTACCTCTAAGATGCAGCTGAAGCAGCACCTCCTTTCCTGATGCTCTCGCCACCTTCCTGGGCAGATCTATCCCATCCCTGCCTCCTTCTCCCAGCTCACTCACTTCATCAAACCCAGGGGTATTTATTTATTCATGGTGCTCCCTACACAAGGCTGTGAGCTTCTTGAAGATGGGACTGTCACCTTCACTGACCTTTAGATCCCAGTGCCAGCCAAGCTGTTTCAATAAATACATGAATTCACAATTTCTAAAAATGGAGTGGCCTCACAATCTCATTCCATCAGGAAGTGCTCACTGGGGCTGGTGTTATGGCACAGAGGCTTAAATCACAACCCAAGATACCATATGGAAGTGTCTGGGATCGAGTTCCACTTTTGCTTCCAATCCGGCTTCCTGCTAATATGCCTGGGAGGGCACAGATGATGGCTCAAGTACTTAGGCCCCTGCCACTCCATCCAGGAGATCCGGATGGAGCTCCTGGCTCCTGGCTTTGGCCTGGCCCAGCCCCAGCTACTGCAGGCATTTGGGGAGTAAACCAGCAGATAGAGACCTTCCATCTCCTCCCATCTCTGTCATTTTGTCTTTTAAATAAATAAAAATAAACTTTAAAAAAAGAAGTACAGGGCCGGCGCCGCGGCTCACTAGGCTAATCCTCCGCCTAGCGGCGCCGGCACACCGGGTTCTAGTCCCGGTTGGGGCTCCAGATTCTGTCCCGGTTGCCCCTCTTCCAGGCCAGCTCTCTGCTGTGGCCAGGGAGTGCAGTGGAGGATGGCCCAGGTGCTTGGGCCCTGCACCCCATGGGAGACCAGGAAAAGCACCTGGCTCCTGGCTCCTGCCATCGGATCAGCGCGGTGCGCTGGCCACAGCGTGCCGGCCGCGGCGGCCATTGGAGGGTGAACCAACGGCAAAGGAAGACCTTTCTCTCTGTCTCTCTCTCTCACTGTCCACTCTGCCTGTCAAAAAGAAAAAAAAAAAGAAGTACACATTATTTCTCAGGGGTAAAGAGCAAAAGCATGAGGCTGGGTTGAAGTGAGGCACATTCTCTGGCTGTGTGACTGTCTATCTTGCACACCAGCCACATGTGCAAATCCCTGAATCTTCATGACTGAACCCACAGGGTTAAAGTGATAACTGCCAAGACCTCTTGTATATAAAATATGAAAGCAAAGCAATTTCAAAGAGCAGAGGGAGAACAGTTTTCTGTAAGAAAGGTACAATAGGAATGGAGATTAACCAACATTATCACCAACACATCTAACCTTTGTATATTGTAATTTGAGGACCTGTTTAATTCTATCATAGGATCCTATGCTGAGGTCCTTCTTCATGACTGTGCCAGACCCATGGGACAAGTTCATGGTCATTATTAGATGACTGCTGAGGGCCCAGAGGGTGCTTCAACTCATCCTCCCATCTGGGTGCGTGCTGGAAGCTGGGAAACCCCAGCTCAGCACGTTCCCAGGGCATGCTCACATTTCCTGGGTGTGCTCCCATGGCGTAAGGAAACAAAGCAACAGAATGAGACAGTCCCTTTTTTCAGAGACAATCTCCAGCCAACGGTCACCTCCTGGGGAGTATTTCACTGGCTGGAGATGCTACGATGACTGAGGAATTCCCTACAGTCGTCCTCCCAAGTTACTATAAAACGCCACAGCATGCAGCACTGCGCACTGGAGCAAACTCAGACCGCAGCGTAGAGCTCACTCCTGCATGAGACTCCAGCAAAAGTTCACCTAGAAGGCCTCAACTTAAGGGGAAAGCAGGCATCCTGAAAACAACAGCTCGATTCAATGGGGCCTACCTCACAGGGCAGAGTGGACACTTCTAATCTTTAGAGTCTTATTTTTCCCTTCCTTTCTTTCTCTGTAGTTTCTATCTTCTTGGACTCTATCGTCCTGAAGCTCACAAGAGTGAAATACCCGTATTTCTGGTGCTCTCATCTTAGTAAAGAGGCCAACAAATGATTACTTTATTCTAAGGCATGTATGACTAACAGTTTAATGTGCTACAACTCCCATAGGAATCTGCATCTTGAAATAAAATACTTGAAGATGCAAGGCAAAGAAATGACTCTTAACAAAAAACATTTCACATACCTATTTATTACTTTGAAGAAATGAAAGCTATTTTTTCAGAAATGAACGATATTTCTTCAGAAACATACTTAAAGCAGCTAATCTCCACCATTAAAGTGGACTGGGGGCCGGCACTGTGGTGCAGTAGGTTAAGCTGCTGCCTGCAATGCCAGCATCCCATTTGGGCACTGGTTTGAGTCCTGGCTGCTCCATTTCCAATCCAGCTATCTGCTAATGTGCCTGGGAATGCAGCAGCTGGCCCAAGTACTTGGTCCCCTCTACCCACGTGAGAGACCTGGAAGAAGCTCTTGGCTCCCAGCTTGGGGCCAGCCCAGCTTCAGCTGTTACAGCCATTTGGGGAGTGAGCGAGCAGATGGAAGATATCTCTCTTTCTCTAACTTTGCCTTTCAAATAAATAAATAATCTTAAAAAAAATCAATCTCTCTGTAACCCTGCCTTTCAAATAAGTAAATCTGCAAAAAATAAAAATAAATAAGGGAATTAAAATGGACATAGGGAGGCCAACTATTACTTTGACTTTGTCGCCAGAAAAGGCTGGTGGTGAGGGACAGAACAAATGACAGTTAAACAGATGGAAACTGAATTAAAGTAACAAGGTAAAAAGTAAACATTCTTGGGGCTGGCACTGTAGTGAATGGGGTAAAGCTGCTGCCTGCAGTGCCGGCATCCCATATGGGTGTCAGTTCAAACCCCAGCTGCTTCACTTCTGATCCAGTTCTCTGCTATGGCCTGGGAAAGCAACAGAAGATGGCCCAAGTCCTTGGGCCCCTATACCCGCGTGGAAGACCCAGAAGAAGCTTTAGGCTCCTGGCTTCGGATTGGCTCAGCTCTAGCCGTTGCAGCCATTTGGGGAGTAAACCAAATTCAGGTTAAGCAAATCACTAGCAACTGATTTAGTAAAAATTATATTTTTGGGGGCAGTGCTGTGGTGTAGTGGGTAAAGCCGCCGCCTGCAGTGCCGGCATCCCAAATGGGCACCAGTTTGAGTCCTGACTGCTCCACCTCTGATCCAGCTTCCTGCTGATGTGCCTCGGAAAGCAGAAGATGGCCCAAGTGCTTGGGCCCCTGCACCCATGTGGGAGACCTGGAAGAAGCTCCTGGCTTCAGATTGGCCCAGCTCTGGACATTGTGGCCATTTGGGGAGTAAACCAGTGGATGGAAGACCTCTCTCTGCCTCTGCCTCTAACTCTGCCTTTCAAATAAATAAATAAATCTTTTAAAAAATGATATTTTTAGTATTTATACTACTTCAAATATTTTCCTAACACTGGTATTATATTCCTAGTTAAAAAAGAACATTGCTACTCAGGGCATGTTTGACCACTCTGTTAGGATTCTCCCCTTACAATTCTTCTCATTGAGGAGAGATCTATTGCTGAAATCTATAGGACCAGATTCCAAAGGCAGTCACCATAAGTTCAGTTCTTCAATTACCAAAGAGGCTGTTTATTTTTTGTTATTTTATTTTATTTGTTACAGAGAGGAGGAGAGACACAGAGAGAAAAATCTCCCAACTGCTGGTTCACTCCCCAAATGGTTGCAATGGCTGGGGCTGGGCCAGGCTGAAGCCTGGAGCTAGGAGCTTCTTCTGTGTCTCCCACATGGGTGCAGAGGCCTAAGCACTTGGACTGCCCTCCGTTGCTTTTTCCAGGCTATTACCTAGATCAGAAGTGGAGCCAAGACTTGAACTGGCATCCATATGGGATGCTGGCAGAGGCTCAACCTGCTAGACCCAATGCCAGCCCCACTATCGTTTTTCACAGGAGTTATGCTGGCCACCCTTTGCTGGTTGGAAAACGTTAGTTAAAATCCAGTTCTAGGGGCTGGTGCCATGGCGCAGTAGGTTAATCCTCTGCCTGCAGCGCCGGTATCCCAAATGGGTGCCGGTTCTAGTCTGGCTGCTCCTCTTCCAATCCAGCTCTCTGCTATGGCCTGGGAAAGCAGTAGAAGATGGCCCAAGTTCTTGGGCCCCTGCACCCACTTGGGAGACTGGGAAGAAGCACCTGGCTCCTGGCTTCGGATCAGTACAGCTCCAGCTGTTGCAGCCAATTTGGGGACTGAACCAACAGAAGGAAGACCTTTCTCTGTCTCTTCTTCTCACTGTAGCTCTGTCAAATAAATAAATAAAATCTTTAAAATGGCTCAAGTGGTTGGACCCCTGCCACCCACATGAGAGACCCATTTGAAGTTCCCGGTTTTTGGCTTTAGCCTGGTTCAGTCCTGGCTGTTGCAGCCATTGGCAAATGGGAGATCTTGCTTTCTCTCACCCTTTTTCTGTAACTCTGCCTTTCAAATAAAATAAATAAATAAATCTTCAAAAAATATTTTATTTATTTGAAAAGCAGAACAACAAAGAGAAGATGAAGACAGAGAAAAAAGGTCTCCCATTTGCTGGTTTGTTCCCCAAATGCCTGCAACAGCTAGGGCTTGGCCACAATGAAGCCAGAAGCCTAGAACTCCATCTGGGTCTCCCATGTGGGTGGTGGGAACCAAAGCACTTGGGCCATCATCTGCTGTCTCCCAGGGGCATTAGCAGGAAGCTGGACTGAAGACAGAGGTGGACGTGAACTTCAGGGGCACTCTGTTTGGGATGCAGGAGTCCCAAGGGGCAGTTTAACCCACTGTGTCACAAAGCCTGACTCTGCACATTTGTTTAATGACTGCAGAGTTTCAGTTTTACATATTGAAAGGTGTTCTGTGGACATGTAATACAGTTCATGTCCCTAACTGTACACTTAAAACCAGTAGATTTTACATTCCATGTATTGACACTTTGAAAACAAAATCAGTTCTAAGACAAACTGTGTCTTTTAAATCTTCATAAATTTAAAGTTTTCTGTATCTTCACTTACCTGGGAGAACTGGTATGTGTTCTGCTCAAACATATACCCAGTATTGTGTACACAGGTGCACCCAATTCTTTGAGCAGGAGCATTGCTTTTATCTCCATCCAAAACACAATTACCATGGATGAAATCAGAAACTGAACTCTCCAACTGCAGCAGGACCAGGAGATTGTACAACTGGCAACCTGCCGAGTGGAGTGTGTTCACATTTTATACCAGGCTTGCACTGAACTAACTCTCATCCTCCTAAACTGCTGCACAGAAGGAGACAACAAATGAGAGCATGCACTGGCCTCAAGGATCCAGGCATATATTTGGCACGATGCTCTCTGTAGGCCAAGGAAATGAGACACAGATGAACATAAAGTCTACTACAAGCAGTACTTCTAGGAGCCACGTCAGTCCTTACAGAACCCCAGGCCACTGCAAGTTCTTTCCCTTTTTGGTGTTTGTGCCCTTCCACTGACTCATTACAGTCCACTCCAGCCCACAGCTGTCCACCCCTAGCACTGTTTTTCATTCAACTATAAATAGTTCATCCTGTCTACCACTAGTAGAGCTATGACCAAAAGCCACTGGGGTACTCACTCCACAAGCAATGAATGGAGATGAAAATTGAGTTCTGGGAGGAAAACCCTGGAGAGAGACAGATGAAAGCCTTACCTTGTTTGCTCCAAAGGATGCTGAAAAACGCTAAATAGCTACCAGACGGCCCTCCCAAATTTCCCTGGGGTTCCAATTTTTGGATCTTAAGACAAGGACAAAGCAAGCATTTTTTTTTTCCCTTGGCCAGCAGCATAATGTTACCATAAACAGAGCAGGCAGCAAAAAAAACAAAAAACAAACAAACAAAAGAAACCACAAAACAAAACAAAACCAGGCAGCCAAGGATTCCAAAGTGCTACATGCAGTATCTCTTTAGTCCAATCAGACATAACAGGAAAACTATGACCTTCTGAATATCTTTGGAAAGGAGTAATGTTACTATACTGAGTGAGTTAAAATGGTATATATTACTCCTCATAGGAACAATGACAAGAAACTTTTAAATCACGGGCATTGGTTTATAGCACAATTAAGCCCTAAAACTCATTGATCCTTTTCAAGTTTTGATGAGACAAGCTATTTTCAAACTTAACTATTTTTTTTTTTAAAAAAGAAGTGTCTAATGAAACCACTATTGCTTAGCTTTCACTCTGGTTTACGGGAGTAAATGCAGAATGAGTTAAGAGGAACTATTATGGGCAGATCTGAATTCGTGTGAGAGCTATACTCTTAAGTTCTGTCCTCTCTAAATGCTTTAGAATATGATTATAAACTACTTCCAAAGAAATAATGCAACCATGCCATAAGCATTTATATATGCTAGGTTTATAAACAACCAGGCTGGACCAGAAATATACACATAAGAAGGGGGACTGTATGTCAGACTTGGAGATACACAGCAGGGAGGGGAGCAGGACACTCTGCAGCCTGCACCCTGAACCTGAATCCTGCCTCTGCCGTTTACCTGCTATTTCTCCTTGGGCCAGCTGCTTAACTTTTCTATGTCTCAATTTCCTATTCTGCAAAATGGAGATCATAGTATCTCTGTATGTTATAAAAGTTTTATTATCTGTGAAGTGTTTATAAATAATGTGTGACACATAAGGCCAGATAAGCATTTGTTAAACAAAAAGAAAGTCAATTCCATGGATGCTGTCTCAACAGGAGTATTTTATGTCCTGACAACTCAGTGTACTCAGAAAAGCTGTGGTTTGGCTATTTCAAGCATTCACGAAGGCAGCAGCTATCACAGAGCCAATAGGTGTTAACAGTTCAAGAAGCAAAGCCATTCTCAAAGGGCTAACGTGTAGGGAAGAGGGACAAAGCTTAAAAGCCAACCTATGGGAGACTGACTGGAAATCGAAGAGCTGGAATCAGAGCGCTTTATTTTACTCCCAGGATGGTGAACTAGAATAAAAAATATGGAAACACACAGAGACAGAGCAGGAAATGCAGAAACTAGTCTAGAAAGACAAACTGGCAGACAGTGGGGGAGCTTCCTGTTACACCCACATGCTGCCCTGCTAACAGGAAAAGGAATGGATGTAGCAGAAGAGCGTTAGCCCCTAGAATTCAGGTCAGGTCTCCTCTTGTTGCAGCCCTAGCTGCAGGCGCCATCACTTAACGCCCAAATTAACAGATTCTTTCGTCTTCAGGCTGGTGTGCAAGACTTTTCACATTTAGCAGCAAGATGCTTCAACAATCCTGCCTGTCCTAGGAGTGTATGGGCTCGTGGCAGGTATACTTTATCCTCCCTTCTGGTCAAAGGGCTCACTAGTCCTTTCCTGATTGAGAAGGCACCCACACTCGCCCCGACTTTCAGTGACAGGGATTGGAGGCAAAGGGCTCTGAAGCCCTGAGGGGATCAAAGAGGGCTTCACTGGGCTCCTCTGTCTACGTGCGTGTTCATACCCCAAACTGAAACACCCGGATGACACCAGCAAATTCTTAAGTCTTATGACTGTGTTCAAGTTCTAATCTATGCTGGTGGGGTGACACCTGGGCAGCTTTACAACAAAGTAAAAACCAGATTCACCCCCACCCCCCTTCCTGTAAGCAAGAGATCAGCTGTGTGACCCTACCTAGCAAGTGATCCTTGCTCAGGATGGTTCCTTACCTCGGCAGGGATCATTTTTCACCAAAAACTCATCCAAGGCCATCCATCCTCCACCAACGCGGACCATCACTGTGCTGCGCAGAATACGGACCAGCCGCAACTGCTGAGAATCCCCAAACTGCAGAATCGAGGCGAAACGGAATTAGGAAGTGAACGCTGTAAAGCAGACCTGTGCTTTTCCCTGAGCAGACTGTATTCAGAAAGGAATGGCAGTGCGATCATATGGGGGAATCTTAAGTTCTATGTATGCATTTTTCACAATGAAGTTAAAAAAATAGAAAAGCAGACAGAGCAAGTCAAAGAGTTAATGTGTGATGGCCATAGCCCAGCCTCTGTGCCAAAAGGGGAGCGGAGAACAATCTGTTCTGATTCTCTTAGAGAATCTGCCTGAATTAAAACCCCCCATTCTTTGTGGTGACAGTGTTTTCTTAGAAGAAAGGGAGGAGATGTCAACTTCTGAATACAGTGTGCTCCAAAGTTAAATGGAGAACAGCAAATACTATTTCAAGCCTTAAAGAAACTCCTGCAGAGCAGCCTCATTACCAGCTTAGAAGAAAATCTGATTTTCTGCATCAGGTTTTCAGAAAGGAACATCAAGTATGCACTAACTGTGTTGTCATTAGTAGCAAAGTTCCTTTAGCTTAACAAATGAATAGATAATATTTACACTAACATTTATTGAAGAAATTAAAAATTTGATCTCCCATGATTATAAACCATATTTAATAATCATTTTAGACATTAAAACAAGCAGGATTTCCTATCTAACACTCCTGCTTTGCATTTCTACCTTAACATTTGGAATTCCCCATTGCATAAATTACCCCTTTCCCAAAATGCAGTGAGAGGAAACAGAAGAGAAGCATGCTGAGATTCCAAAACAAACACCACACATTGGTTATTTAATTCAAAGAGAATGTTGGCGTGGACGGGAGGGACTGCTTAACCACCTAACGAGGACTTTCAAAGTCAGAAAGGAGAATCCTGACTTTGAAACAGGGCACACGGATTGGAAACACCAGAAAGGATGTTTGAGGAGGACAGGTAACCATCCTCCTTCAAAATCCTGTTGCAATTTTCCACATTTTTTTGCTGCTCTGCCTCAAATGCACTGTCTGTACAGGCAACTACAAAGTACTGTCCCTCTCCTCCCTAGCCATTACTTTGAAAATAAAACAGCCCCACACCTTTTGTCTCATACAGTTTTAAGCTTTTTATACCAAGTGACTACAAGCAACAGCACGGTGTAGTGAAGCAGCACTGAACCCAGAGGTGTGAGGGGATCAACGTCTGGTCCTGGGAAGGAAGCTGCTCAGTGGGTTCAGGGGGAGCCCCCCTCAGAAGCTGGGCCCAATGAGTGAACACAGGGGGCCTCAGGAGCAGGTTCTGCAGGACCTGGGGAATCCCAGAGGACTGCAAGCAGAGTGAAAGCTTGGTTCACTGGGGTCTGTTCCGGACAGGTGAGGGGAGGGAGGGAATATGCACCTATGTATCCTTCCAGAGTGAAACAGGAAGGAACCCCAGGAGTACCGTACTCTATAGCTCATTACTTCATTTACTTCCTGTCCCTCCCCAATATTTTCTGGTGAAGCTCTATCTGAAAGATTCTAACTTGTTTCTGCTGAGCTATGGGAAAAAGTAGGTTTGACTCCAGCCAGCAGCAAGTGTAAATGGGGAAGTTGAGGCCAGAGTGACAAGTGGTGGAAAGGGTTAGGGTAGCTCTAAAAATGGGGACCTCCACACAGCTGATACAACAGGCTGGTCTGTGAGGCAAAGAACTTGGAACAAGAGTCCTAGGGGCCAGTAACCCATTTCCTCCTCTTACAGGGACTTGAGCAGTGGCTCTGACAATAGCTGTCTGATAGCAGGCATTCTGATCTTGAGGTCTCAGGTGCCTGCGTATAGAATCAACTTTGTAATTTTGCTGCCAACATTAGAATAACTTACATAATCTTCTCCTGGTCAACTGAACAGTAGAGGGGGCATCAGCGCCCCTCCAAAAGGGCCCTCGTACTGCTTGAGTCCACTAGGAAACGGGCACACTGGGCACACTGCTGCAGTATGACTCTTCTCAATTTTTTTCCCATTCCCTGTTCTTCCTACCTAGCCCAGGACATTACTGCCATTAGTGATTGCTATAGTGCTTGTAACTTAACAATGATTCAAGGCCTCAAAATCAACTCTTGGTATTGCTAATTTCATTTCAGAGACAGATTTTATTCATGCAACTTCCTTCCACATTTGGAGACACAGGACCCCAGAGCCCTCAGAAAAATCTGAGAAGGTTAGAGTTACCAAGTGGAGTCAGAGCATCTAATCTTTTCTTGCAAGCCTAGTTTGATTCCATTAGACTTTGGTTGGCTGTCATCTGCAAACTTTGGGCCATAGCCAATTATAATTTCCATATTCTGTCTCAGGTACCTTATAATCCTAAAGTACAAATAACTATAATATTAATCAGGCATTTAAGTAAACAATACTAAGGTACCCCAGAAGTTTCTGACTTGGTGTACACGATGCAATTTATACTAACCTGTCAAAAGACTGAGGTAAATCAGTACTGCGCTGATGGCATTCTGACCGCCAACACCCAAGCATAAGAGTAGGCTCTTCTTAAAGGTGAAAGGGACTGATACCACAGTCTCCAACTCCATGAGCCATATTACTCACAATTCAGTCTGGCATAATATCATCATCCTCAGCCAACGTGATTTTTGAATGAAAATTTTATCTCCTCTTTTTTCCCTCCTTAAGAAATGAACTTATATCCTCTGGCTGCTGAGACAGCTTTGTAATAACTGTCCCAGTTAGCAGCTTCTCCACTTGGTAAGGCAACCAGAGGTGACCCAGGCATGCTTCAGATTACATCTTCTCCCCACAGCAAAGAGCAGGCAGCTTTAGCTACACAGACCACATCCACTGAGAAGGAGAGCATCGCAAGGCACACTGTACCTGATTGCCGAGGAAGAACTACAGACAGAAAGAGTACAGGTTGGAGGGAAAAAAAGAGAACATTTGGTCAAATTAACGTGGGGAAACAAAATCTTCTCATTGTGTTACCTGTCTTTCAGCAGGGTGAAACACACTGACTGCATGCTTACCAGGCTCCTGTTGGCCACGGGGATGTGGTTTTACAAGCTAAGATTAACTTTCCATCCTATGTTGCTCTGGTTAACTCATTTCCCTCATAGGTGATTTCAAAACAAAACAAAACAATAAAACAAAACTCAACAAGCACACATAGGAGTAGCTGGAGCTTTACTGCCCTGGGACCAAATGCTCCTCAGTCAACAGAAGTGTGGTGAGGACTCAGTGCACTCCAAGGACATTTTTGATGTACTGATGGAACCTGGATTTTCCTGTGTTTCTCAAACAGTGCATTTAACTACAACCTACCATGGTCATCTAAATCCTCTTTGCCAATCAGATTTTTCTTAGGACTTTAAAGAATCCTAACAAGCTGTTGACTGTATTTTTAGGAGTTCTGTTTCAGATCCTTTCTACATCACTGATCGTTGTTCTAAAAGAAACTGAAACACAAGCAGAGTTCACCATCAGTTACGGCCACACTTAGCATGGCTTCCCAAGGAAGACCACTGGGCCTGGCTTGCCAGTGCACCCAGGCCTCATTTGTGGTCCAGCTCAGATCAGGCACATCTGCTGGGGCCTTAAAACATCCTTATCTGAGCCTCAGAACTGTTCCAGGCACAAGATGACCAGCTCTTTGGGGTAAAGGGCCAATCATTAGATGTACTTGTTTCCAAAAGTACCTTTGTCTCCCTAAAGACTCTGGTCACCTGTGTAATGAGGGCTCTGAAATGTCTCCTAATATCCCAGTAACTGTCTCAGCTGGGGCTACGTGGGGCACTACAGAAGCTTAGCACAACAGGACACATGATATTTGACATCGAGAACTGAGGGTCAGGAGGTGACCACATTCCAAGTCCCACGAAGTCTGCACTTTCCAGCATCAAGAGGGAGAAGGTGGGATCATCCAGCCTGCTTAGTCAGGTTGCTTACACCTATAAGGGCCACACATGGGGAAATCTCCATCACAAAGCACTGGTTTTTCTCTTCCTTACCCGGTATTTATTCTCTCCGATCTGCTCCACTTGAAACCTTTTTGCACACTTGCACTGAGCCACTTGTCTTGTGACCTATTGGTTGTGAACAACAACATAAAGAGTAGAGTATGACTTCCTTTGTAGAGAAACAAAGATTTGCACACGTATACAGAAAAGCTAGGCATCATGCCTTTTTACACATGTCAGGCTTCTGACACATGTGTTTATCTTACATTCCAAATTAATACACGTTGCTCTTACTGAGAAAATCTAGATACCCAGAAAGAATATGACAGAAATTCCCAAGTAACTATCCAGCCTGTTTCACAATTCCTTCAGAGAAGTGCTAACATACATGAGTCAAAATCAATGACTAATAGAGCAAATTATGAACTGACCTGAATTTCAACCTAGTAGTGCTAGATTCCCTGAAGTTACTCCTGTTATGTTCCCGGTGACTCCCAAGACCTGCCCTGCTGCCTCTCCCTCCCCAAGACCTGTCATCAATGCATCCTCAGATACCCATGTGCTACTATTACTAAGTTTGCTACTTTTAATGTGATACAGTTTTTAACCAAGCAGAAAGCATGATAGGTATACAATATCTTAAATATTACACTTTACCTCTTAAGTACTACATTTAAAAAAAAAAAAAGACTTACTTATTTGAAAGGCAGCATTAGAGAGAGAGAAAGGGAGATCTTCCATCTGCTGGTTCACTCTCTAAATGGTCACAACCAGGAGCCAGGAGCTTTATCTGGGTTTCCCACATGGTACAAGGGCCCAAGGACTTGGGCCACCTTCCACTGCCTTCCCAGGTGCATCAGAAATGGAGCAGCCAGTATTCAAACCAGTGCCCACATGGGATGCAGCTGCACCATTACTCTACAACACTGGCCCCAAGTGCTACATTTGACCACCTCTTCTCTGTATTCTAAGGTAGGACAATCAAGGCTAGGATAAATCCATCCTAAGCAACGTGGTACCTGTGAACCAGGATGAGTGGAGAGGTTCTCTGTAAACTTTAGAGGCCCACACAGATCAAACTCATTTGATTTTTTTTTTTTTATTATTTGACAGGTAGAGTTACAGACAATGAGAGAGAGAGACAGAGAAAGGTCTTCCTTCCGTTGGTTCCCCCCTGAAATGGCTGCTACAGCCAGAGCTACGCCGATCTGAAGCCAAGAGCCAGGTGGTTCTTCCTGGTCTCTCACGCGGGTGCAGGCACCCAAGCACTTGGGCCATCCTCCACTGCCTTCCCGGGCCACAGCAGAGAGCACGACTGGAAGAGGAGCAACCAGAACTAGAACCCAGTGCCCATATGGGATTCCGGTACCTCAGGTGGAGGATTAGCCAAGTGAGCGCTGGCCCCAAACTCATTTGAATAATCCAGATAGGTAGGGCTAGAGCTCAGTGGCCAGAGAACCTCCAGGGTTCTCTGAGGGCCACTGCAAAATGAAATCCCAAAAGAGAACCTCAAATAATCACCCTCAAACAGATAAGTCAAAGGGCTGATAAGGTAACTGCATCCTATCAAATTCAGGACAATATAAACCTATAGTCAAAAATGAACTCAGGTGTGAGAGTTGTGGTGTAGCAGGTTGGGCTGCTGCTTGGGACGTCTGTACCCCTTACTGTAGTACCTGGTTTCATTACTCTGCTTCTAATCCAGCTTCCTGCTAATACACTTGGAAGGTAGCAGATGATAGCTCAAGTACTTGAGTCCCTGCCACACACATAAGGAAACCTGGAGGGAGTTCAGGTCCTGGCTTCAGTCTGGCTCAGCCCTAGCTATCGCAGGCATTTGGGGAATGAACTAGCAAACAGAAGATCTCTATCTCTTCCCTTCTGTCACTTTGCTTCTTAAGTAAATAAGTAAATCTTCTTAAAAATCTGATTCTTTTCCATACCTCATCTTCAATTTTATCTGCATCAGTTGTTGGTCGATAAGCATCCTTGTTGGGATGGAGAGCAGCCACAAATTCATAGTAATCAATGTAGCCATCCCCATCTCTGTCAAAAATGTCAGCCACAGCAGTCATCTCCAACTTGGTGGTAGGGAATTCTGGAGAAAAGGAATCAAGTTTAAACACTAAGAGGGCTTCCTTGGTTGGTTGGTGGTTATACTAAATACTTCTGGACATACAGGTTTATGTAATTTTTTTTCCTGAAAGGCAGTATATGTCTACTTTAGAAACTCTAAGAGATACAAATTGTAAAGATAAAAATTAACCAAGATTATAGCATCCAGAGACACTGTTAACTATTGGCTTATAGATTTCCTTGTTCCTTATGCAATTTTAAAAAAAGTATTTCAGATATCACAAAACTCATAAATATATATTGCGACCACCCATAGATCTGCCATTCAACTTCAGAATTTACTTATCCTTCCATTATTGTTATTTTTTTTTTAAGATTTATTTATTCATTTATTTGAAAGTCAGAATTACAGAGAGAGGAGAGGCAGAGAGAGAGAGAGAGAGAGAGAGAGGTCTTCTATCCGCTGGTTCACTCCCCAACTGGCTGCAACAGCCAGAGCTGCACTGATCCAAAGCCAAGAGCCAGGAGCTTCTTTCAGGTCTCTCACGCGGGTGCAAAGGCCCAAGCACTCAGGCCATTTTCTACTGCTTTCCCAGGCCATAGCAGAGAGCTGGATGGGAAGTGGAGCAGCCGGGTCTTGAACTGGCACCCATATGGAATGCCAGCGCTTCAGGCCAGAGCGTTAACCCACTGCATCACAGTGCCGGCCCCTCCACTATTGTTGAATGCTTAGATTACTTCAGAAGAAGTGACAATCTGGAATAGCATGAATTTTTCTTCTATTTGAATTACTGCCTTATCTTCTTGATAAATTGCTTTCCAAAGGGAAGTGTATTTACAGTGGTCAGAATGATATGCTGAAACACAAATCAAGGGCAAGCTGCTGTGGTGTAGCGACGTAAGGCCACCGCCTGTGGTGCCGGCATCCCATATGGGAGCCGGTTCCAGTCCTTGCTGCTCCACTTGTGATCCAGCTCTCCGCTATGGCCTGGGAAGCAGTACAACATGGCCCAAGTGCTTTGGCCCCTGCACCTGTGTGGGAGACCCAGAAAAAGCTCCTGACTCCTGGTTTCAGATCAGCCCAGCTCCAGCCATTGTAGCCACTTGGGGAGTAAACCAGCGGATAGCAGACCTCCCTCTCTCTCTGTCACTTTGACTTTCAAATAAATAAATAAAATATTTGGAAAAAAAAAGAAACATAAATCAGATCCTATTGTTATTCAGCTGAAAATCTTCTGGTAGCTACTTATTGTCCCATTGTCTTTAGAATGATGTTTCAGGGATCAGTGCTATGGTATAGCAGGTTAAGCCTCCACCTGAAGTGCCAGTATCCCATACGGGTACCAGTTTGAGTCCTGGCTGTTCCATTTCCAATCCTGCTCCTACCTAATATGCCTGCAAAAGAAGCAGAGAACAGCCCAGGTGCTTGGGCCCCTGCACCTACAAGGGAGACCAAGAAGCTCCCAGCTTTGGCCTGGCCCAGCCCTGGCCATTGTGGCCATTCAGGGAGTGATCCTCCAGACATCCAAGTCAAAGTTGGCAAATTCCTCTCTACCTCTCTCTCTAATTCTGACTTTCAAATAAATAAATAAATAAATAAATCTTAAAAAAAAAAAAGAAGAAGAACACGACGCTTGAACTGTTCACAGTGGCCCACCAGGCCCTACCTTACCTGACTCCTGCCTACCATGCTTCCAACTTCAGCATTCTCCAGTCCCCGTCTAGGCCATGACACCCTGGCCACACTAACCTTTCCACCCCTAGAATGTGCCTTCACTCTCATCTCTGCACTGTTGTACCTTCTGCTCCCTTTGCCTCTAGCCAACCCCTACTCCTCTCTGGTCTTCATGTGGCCGAACCCTCATAATTCAGAGCTGGCTCGGCTCAAGCTTTGTCCCCACAGACAGGCTTTCTCTGACCGCCACATGTGAAGTCACACAGCTGCAAGAAGTGCTCTGTGACCTTGGTGAGGTCACTTAACTGCTTTATATCTCAACTATGTCTTGGGCTACAAACAAATGAGACCACAGACTTTCTAAGTTGTTATGTAGGTGTCAAACTGTTCTTACAAAAAACCTTACTTTTTAAAAACACGTTACTTAGAGCCTCATCATTCACAAAAGCCAGCTCCTTATCTATACCTCAAATGTGCTTTACTTGTCCCAAGGTGTCAAACATGACGAACTGTTTTCTTATCTTCATCAGAATGATTGATCAGTGTGCAATTACCCACCCCTCCCCGCCACCAGGCCCCAGCTCCAGCTCCAACTTTAACCTCTCAAACACTGCTAAGGCAGGATAAATGCAGCTTCCATAAAACCGTGTGAACCACAAGATGTGGTATGGACCCATGTTGGAAGTATGACTGCACTCACTGGAGGCTAAAATGCCATCGATGAACTCCTGACGTGTAATCTTCCCATCCTGGTCCTTGTCGATGCGCCGGAAGAAGTCCATCACCCGCGACTTTTTGTGGTTCATCCAACGCATATACTTTTTCCTCCAGACATCAAAGTCAAAGTTGGCAAATTCCTTCAACTAGACAGAAATCAGAGGCATCAATAAGACCTACTGTTTTGGCCCTCAGAGCTGCCCAGAGTAACTCCCAAACCTGCAGACACCGAGTAAAGCCATGCAGGCCTTCCAAGGGAGCAGCAACAATGAGGCCTGTGTGCTGCCTGTTCTGTGAAGGCGCAGTCTGGCTCCTTCATGGAGAGCCATGATTCTTCACACAAGCTGCGTATATAATGGAGTAGCAGGAGAAAGAGCAACTGAATAACCACCATGGAGAATACAGAGCATGTGGAACAGAAGGGGTGGTGCCAGCCTTGCTCTCCCTTTGGATTTTTTCCAAGGATCTTAGATGTAAGGGAACGGATGCTATCCCAGAAGGGAGACCCTTGGCACCCTCACTTCTGTTGTTTTGAAAGGCACTGTAGTCACACACAGGGCCCTCAGGAGGCTCGTGCCCCCAGCATCTTCCGAGACTTCTATGCCACCACCTGAGTTCCACTGGAGGTGTCAGGAACTCGGCACTGCATCCAAGCATGTTTCTTTGGAATGGCACCAGAGGGAGCAAACTGCCCAGCTGACTTCTGTGTTCAATGTCTGGCCTTGACAGAAAGCAGCAGGCCTGTGCAGTAGGCAAGGCGTTTTTTTAGCTACTTGGGCTATGTCAACACTCAGGATGACTTAAACAGTGCAGCAGTTTTCCCCCTGGTCTTTCAAACTCCAAAGTTGAAAGGAATCGGGGATAAAAGCGCTAAGAACCAAATACACTTAAAACTCAGCTGACCTACAGGAATAACAACAAACAACACAGAACACTCACTTCCGGACATAGCTGCTTTGACAGGCACAAATAAAAAAATACAGAAGGTATTAGAGGTTTTTTAAGCTAGGAAATGTAGTTCTATATTTTTTATATTTACTTGGTTAATGATACTTCAAAACAGACTTATTCATGGTCTAGTGAACACAAATCAGATAATAACATTATGAACAAGCATGTCATAACTGTGTAACATGTAGCTTCACATCACAGGCTCAGAAATGGTCATTTTTGTGATAAGCTAACTATCTGCAGATGACTTTTCAGTTCTGTTGCCGATTCTCAGTTGCGGCAGGGTGCTGAGGAGGACCAGCTCACGGCCCTGAGCCCTGTATGGGCCGGCTGGTATCCTGCTCTCACAAGCAGGTGCTACGGCCTCATCAGCTGAGAGTGACTTCCTCTCACAAGTCTTCTCTTGCTCAGGGCCCAGGAGCAAAGAGCACTAGCTACGCACAGGCGCTTCTGCCACTGAAGAGGTACAGAGGGCACACAGGTCATGCCAGGAGGCCTGTGCTCTGATCAAAGGTCACCTCCCTCCAGGGACAGCCACTCAGCAGGGCCTTACCTCCTCCAGTCGATCCAGGGCATCATTCAGCTTCCGCTGCCGCTCCAGCGCTAACAGCCACACCTGCTGCCAGCGGGCAGACAGCTGGTTGATCCGTGGGTTTTTTGCTTCAGATTGTGAAAGGATTGGCATGGGAGGGGGTGTGGGCTGACTCAAGGACTTCCCTATAAGGAAGAACCAATCACAAGATTAGAAAAGCTAGTTTTGTTAGTCCACAGAGAGAAAAAGCCACATGTATGAAGTTAAGAGATCTCTATAATGACATGTAGATAGTAACTGAGAATAAAATATGAGACCTGGCAATATTTAGGTAGGGAGGTGTAAAAATTCCAAAACTATAAATTCTCCCCAGCCAATTAGTATGTCTCCGACATTAATTACCTCCAGCCAGTATCTGATCTACCTTAGAGAGCTGAAGACACATCAACTCAACAAAATGAGCCATGGATTTTACAGGGGCTGACTTACTTATGATTAATTTAGTGCAAGCCAAATGTAAGCAGCTAGCACTGACGACCAAAACAATGGAAAGGCCACTAAAAGAACTAGAAGGTGATGGTTAAAGAACAGGTATAATCGGCCGGTGCCGCGGCTCACTTGCTAATCCTCCACCTGCGGCGCGGCACCCTGGGTTCTAGTCCCGGTTGCTCCTCTTCCAGTCCAGCTCTCTGCTGTGGTCTGGGAAGGCAGTGGAGGACGGCCAAAGTGCTTGGGCGCCTGCACCCGCATGGGAGACCAGGAGGAAGCTCCTGGTTTTGGATTGGCGCAGCGCGCTGGCTGTAGCAGCCATTTGGGGGGACCTTTCTCTCTGTCTCTCTCTCACTGTCTAACTCTGCCTGTCAAAAAAAAAAAAAAAAAAAAAAAAAGAAGTGTGAGGAGGAACATTAAAATAAGAAGGATTTTGGTTCAAATCTAGTATGCTTTTGAAAGTGGAAAGACAGAATTTTTTTGACAGGCACTCCAACGAGCAGGAATTAAACGTCCTAACACAGTGGCCCAGGAACATACTGCTGCCGCTGCGGGATTTCTCCACAAAGGGTGCATGGGCGGGCTCCACAGTCTTCCTTTTGTATGTCTTGGTGACCCGATCCACATCAGGTTGTTTGCGTGTCATCTCCTCCATAAACGTCTGGTTAAACACAAAAATAGGAAAAAGAGTTGAGATTCCTTCGACTTAAATGGAATCAGGCAATTTTTCACTAACAAAGGCCAAGTCCATGACAGGCTGATGAAGTGATAGACACCCTTGTGTTTCTTCCTCTGACTTCAAGAAGCTCATAGCCCAAGAACCAAGAACCAAGAAGTCAGAGTACTGAGTGCCACCCAGGGTTCAAAGAAGACTTAGGAGGGGTACTTCCCAGCCTAAGCTGCCTGGAGGCTGGCGCCTTGGCTGAGTTACTGAGGGATGAAGAATTATTCAAAGAATAGGTGGAGGGCAGTCCTGGCAGAGGGCACAGCCTGAGCAGAACCAGGGAGGCCAAAAAGTGTTGTGAACCAGGATCCTTCCAATCACTAGCTGAGCAGAGGATGCAAATGGAGAAGTGGTAAGAGGTGGGGCGGGAGAGGCAGGCAGGAGAAAATATAGCAAAAGCCCTGTGTTGTGCTAAGGATTAGGGTCTTACTCTGAGAGCAGTGGGGATGGGAGGCAGAACAACTGAAGGATTTTGATCCAGGGAAGAGATGATCAGAGCTACACTTTAGAGCCATTACTGTGGCTTCAGGGTAGAAGGCAGAGTAACTGGGAATGGGGTTGGGAGGAGGCGGATGACTAGCAGTGTAAAAAGATTAGCAAACCACTGTAGCAATGAAGCCAAAACATGGTGAGGGCTTGAACCAGGGCAGGATACATGGAACCAAGAGGTATTCTGAAAGTAGGACAGACAAGACCTGTTGAATGGCTTGGTGCAAGGGTAGAGGAGAGGGAGGAATGGCCGACTCATGACTTGAGTGGCTGGTCAAGTGAATGGCTCAAGATATGGCAGGTTTGGAAGGGAGGGGGCGGGGTCAGGCCAGGAAGAAAGATAAAAGTGCCGTTTCAGAGCTGCCTCTAGTCTACTGTACGTGGACTTCAGAGGATGGTGGAGCTGGAGATGAAGAAAAACAGATCCAAGTCTTTGGTTTACAGGTGATGGCTGAAGCCACTGGATAGGATAAGTCCCAGCAGCGTGAGAAGAGCATCAGGGATGAACTCGGGGAGCACCTACATTAAAGGGTTGGCAAAGTACGAGGAATCAGCTAAGGCTGGGGAGAAGGGGTCAGAAAGATCAGAGGAAAACAAGACAGAGGAGCACAGATGGCTAGAGGAGTATTGATAAGGAAGAGTCAACTGCGTCACACATCAGGAAGACAAAGACTGAAAATGTCTGCAGACCTGGGGGTGGGAGCCAGATCACAGGGACCTGGGGAGCGAATGGGAAATAAGGGAACAAGAAGCTTGACTGACAGAGCGAAGAGGGAGGCAGCAGTGTGGGTAAACTTCATAGGAAGTATAAGAGTTCTCACTTGCTAGCGCAATCATTTACATAAACGAAAAGGACTACGCTGTCTACAGTATAAGCAAGATTCATACTGTGTTCAGGGTAAATTATCACATTTAAAAACCATATTTGTGGCCGGCGCCGCGGCTCACTAGGCTAATCCTCCGTCTGGCGGCGCCGGCACGCCAGGTTCTAGTCCCGGTCAGGGCGCCGGATTCTGTCCCGGTTGCCCCTCTTCCAGGCCAGCTCTCTGCTGTGGCCAGGGAGTGCAGTGGAGGATGGCCCAAGTGCTTGGGCCCTGCACCCCATGGGAGACCAGGAGAAGTACCTGGCTCCTGCCATTGGCAGCGGGGTGCGCCGGCCGCAGCACGCCGGCCATTGGAGGGTGAACCAACGGCAAAAGGAAGACCTTTCTCTGTCTCTCTCTCTCACTGTCCACTCTGCCTGTCAAAAAAACAAAAAACAAAAAACAAAAAAAACAAAACCATATTTGCCTCTTAAGGATAGCTCATCTGAAAACTCCTTTAGTCGGTTTGGTCTGAGAGGCCTCTGGGTTCATACCAGAGATCTTTCCAAACCCAGGCACAATGGAGGTAGGTCAGTGGGCCCTTGACTCAGAGAACAGTAAAACAAAAGATGGGGGGGCAGGCTTTTGAGACAGCACCCAGGACTCCCACTCCTGGTGCACATGCCCTGTGTAAGGCCTTCCCTCTGGCGTGGGCATCAGTGAAAATGATGGAACAGTCTTTCTCCTGACTGCATTTTGCTATGTAAGACCCATCAGGGCATGCTTGGCAGTTTCTCCTGCCAGCCTTGAAAACACAAGAGGCTGTGTGTCTAAGACCTGAGAGTGGCCTCTGCAGCTGTGAGCAAGTCCTAACAGAGCCAGCAAGAAAGTGGAGGCCTCAGTCTTACAGCTGTAAGCTGACCGCTTGAATGAGCCTGAGAGAAATCCTGAACTCAGAGGAGAAGTGCAGCCCTGGCTGACACCTTGATTTCAGCCTGGTGTAATCCCAAGGAATGGACCCAGCTTACTACGAATGTCTAGTCTCCTGAACCAGAATCTGAGGCATGTGTGGTGTGTTGTTTTATGCTAAGCCTGTGGTAAGGTATAGTTTTTTCATCATTTGTATTTTCTATGAACTTCTTAAAGACCCCTGTATGCATGGATTTCAAAATTTCTACACCAAAATAAACAGCTTTTAATTTCATCTTCCATAAACTGTTAAAAGCATCCTTGTATGTGAAACAGCAATTAAACACACACACACAGGGCAAAGGAAAGGGGACCCATGACCAGCACAGGAAACACCAGCAGCTGCACAAGGAGGCTCAGATACCTGATGCTCAGCGATCAGGGCTTTCACTCGGTCGATATTCTGAGGGATCGGCTCCTGATCCCGCTGAATGAGGGTGGTCTCGGCCCACTGGATCCATGCCAGAAGTTCCTCCAGGAGCTCGGCGTTAGCCACCAGTTCTGACAGGGCTGCTTCCAGACGCTGCTGGTGCTGCTTTGCCCATGTCAAGACCTGTGCAGGTGGGGGAAACCATGGCCTCTTTCAGTCAAGCAGGTCCTTTTGTGTCCTTTTCACCTCCTCACAATGACTTTTTAGCGGTGAGACCACCACACAGTCAATAGGCTTCGCTCTTATGCCAATGACGAAGCTGGAGTAGGAAATCTGCTCTCCTGAAAGCAACTCTAGCACATGCTAGAGGGCTGGGGCAGCGGTCCACAGCACGTGGATCCACTGGAGTCACTGCCAACACATCACCACCCCAGCACTATTCTCCCAGACCACTGCACACTTTACCAAGCTAACATAATTTCTGTTGAAACAGTCCCAATGACTGAGAGATTGGTGGGCGGGAGGGAGCAGGAAGAAAAGAAGGCTCTGCAGTATTTCGTCACTATAATCCCATTTTCTGGGCGTGCGTGCCAACTCACCTCCTCAAAGCGAGCTCGGATGATGGTGATCCAGTGTTTGATGGTTGTGATACAGTCAGGATGGCACACGGCCAGGATGACTTCGCCCATGGCTACCGCTGCATTCACATCCACTCGCTTTTCTTCCACTTTCTTCATGAATTCCTAAGCAAGAAAGATTTGCAAACAAAAACTGATCAAATCTACGCTATTAGCACTGTTAGTGTATTCTTTTCCTTCAATGTGTTGGCACAGACTTGTAAAAGCCTGGACTTTGACATCTCTAACATTTTCTTTCCAGCTCTAAAAGATGTGGAAAAAAGTGAAGGATTTCTACAAGAATAACCTTCTGTATTAGAAAAGACTATAGTTAGTTTCTCTTTCTTTAACCCCATGTTTATTCATTTCCATATTTGTAAACACATTTAGCTTGGAAAAATGTAACAATGGTTATGAAACAGAGTATTTTTAAAATATCCACAATATAATTCAATGATAGAAACAAAATTAAAATCTGGGCAGGTGGAAGGCATTTGCTTCCTGCTGATGCATACCCTGGGAGGCAGTAGTGATGGCTCAAGTAGTTGGGTCCAGGTTACACAAGTAGAAGATCTACATTGAGTTCCCAGCTCCCAGCATGTGGGCAGTGAACCAGGGACAGGAACAATCTCTGTGTCATTGTCTGCCTTCTCCAATCAGCAAATAAGATCAAATAGAATCTCTGGGGAAGTAACATCTTTTTAAAAATTTTTATTTATTTATTTGACAGGTAAAGTTACAGTGAGAGGAAGACAGAAAGTTCTTCCATTCACTGATTTACTCCCCAAATGGCTGCAGTGGCCAGAGCTGAGCCGATCTGAAGCCAGGGGCCAGAAGCTTCTTCTGGGTCTCCAACATGGATACAGGGGCACAAGGACTTGTGTCATCTTCCAGTGCTTTCCCAGGCCATAGCAGAGAGCTGGATCAGCAGAGGAGCAGCCAGGACTTAAACCAGTGCCCATATGGAATGCTGGCACCACAGGTGGAGGATTAACCTACTGTGCCACAACATGAAAATTTAAAAATGAAACATTTCCCCATTCATTAGTAGGACAGATGGATGCCTCAGATACTCCATTGCTTTCAACAGCTTAGAAGGGCTCTTGGAAATCAGAATAGGGTCCAAAGTTGTTAACATAAGAAAGCCAATCAAAGCATGTGCTAGTGAAGTGCAAAGAAGGTGAAATAACCTACATTTTCCTTTACACAGTGCTAGGTGTTTAAACTGTTTACAACCAACATGTTATTTTTGTAAAAGTGAATGACCTGCCATCACTTCCCCCTCATTCCTGCTAAAACAGTGAGCTGAGCCCATTCTTGTTTTGCTCCCTTTCAGCAAAAGCGGTTTTCCTGAGGGTGAGGCAGCCCTCGCTGCGGTGGGCAGCAGAGGTCACTGCATCGAGGGCTGGATTACCTTATGGGTGTCAATAAGAGACTGCAGGGCCTCCGTGTCATCAGGAAGTGCTCCCCGAAAGCGAAGTGTTTGCTCTGCTTCAGAAAGCCACTCCAACAGCATGTGGACTGTGTCCCGAAACTCTTCTGCCTGAAATAACCGAGCACAAAAGATCAAACCACTTGCTGCAGCTGAGGTCCCAGACACAGTGGCGTGCCAGGGAAAAAGACCACTACTGAATCCTTAGTGTATCAGAGTAAGGTCATCGTTCATTCGTAGAAAATAAAATAAATCATTTCTCTAACACTAGTACAAATGAGTATTAGAGTCTTGTAGGACATGTTAGATTATTCATTTTCGACTTTGTTATGTTCATGACTGGCTACACTTGATCCCAATGAACAAATAATGAGTCAGCTCAGACACCCACTAGGTTGGCCCAGCCACCTCCTCTCACCTGTTTTAAAGCCTGCTCAAGTCGGCTTTGTTTGGAAACAGAGAGTTTACACACGGTGTCCCACCGAGTGCTCAGTTCCTGAAGCTGCCCTTTGACCCAAGTGGTGTCATCACGGCTGTTCTCAATCAGCTCTCGGCCTGACCGCTTCAGGACCTGAACTGTTCCTGTTCGCTTTCCCAGTTCCTTCTGGAAAACCTAGAAAAGAAAATTGGAAAATTCCTTTGCTTGGAGAATGTTTGAATCTGAGAAGTAAAACTACAGAGAGGGTAATCATTGCCTTGGTAGGTTGTAATCATGCATCTTTTATGCACAGAGGGAGGCAGAACAATGTGTAGGAAAGAACAACCAGAAGACCTGGCTCTAAAATAAATGTCAGCTCAGGCATTTATAAGCTGCGTGACTTTGGATAAGTTGCCTAACTTGAGTCCCAGTTTCCTCATCTGTAAAACAGGAATAATTATATTAACATTGCCAGAATTAAGGGAGATACAAAAGAACACCATCAGCTGTGCACAGAAGAATTTGATGTGATTTCAAGATACTGCTGAATACTTTGTGCTGAAACAGAATATTATGCAGCTCAACACGACAGACATGTAGGTCATACTAAATATTGGCGTGTGTGGTGTTAGGCTTGTTAGGTCCAGAAGTGGATTAATAAAAATCACGCAGCCCAGATCTCATTCCTCACCTTGTGGGCATCCATGAGGTTCATGACAAGGTCGAGGTCCCCATGCACAGGCTGGTCCTCAGCCAGCTGTGGCTCCACCTTGTACAACCAGTCGACCAAGGCCTGCAAAGCATCCATGAACTGTCCCGAAAACAGCAGGGCTTCCTCCAACTTGTGCTGCCTGAGAAATGCATATGAGCCCCATCATTTTTAAGGATTCTTTTTATGAGTGGCCTACAAGTCTGACTGCTGAAAGGGAATATTGCTTGAACTCTATACAGAGAGAGACTTCTATGTTAAAACAGTTAGAAGTAGAGTAAAAAGGGATTAAGAGAGATGCCCAGACATCTTTAAACAAACCACTCTCTAGAAAGGATTAAGTATAGTGCAGGGTATGGGCATAGACGCTCTTTGGGCATCTTACAGTCTAATGACACACAGACCCACCCTGACACCCAAGGTCTGACGTTGATTACGTCAACCTACCCCAATCGGTGGAGTACAAATAGTGCAGAGAGACTCTCACATTTAGCATAGCACAGTGGCCTGAATGAATAAAAGTGCAACTCTTCAAACCAAACTGCTTGGGTTCAAACCCCAGCTCTTTCACTCAGTAGCTGAGTGATCTTGGAGGGGGGAGTTAAGAAACCTCCTTATGATCATTTTTTCATCTGTAAAGTGGGAATAAAATCAGAATCCACCCAAGTGGCTAAGAGGATTAAATGATTAGCAGGCACCTGTTGGCACCAATTCTGTAATAATAGCTCAGTAAGAGTCAGGTATTACAGTTCCATGGAGTAATTCAAGCAGCACTGACACGCGGTGAGCACTCTCCACGAGGCACCTGTTGCTATTACAAACGGCGCACTTCCAAATATTTTAGTCACTCATATTCTATTACCACTGGCTTGATTTTTATAGGCCTCTTTCTAAAACATGCCTAAAATGAGAATTTTAATACATTTTCTTCAAATTGTTTCATAACTCCCTTTGAAGTAACTGGAGCTATCAAGATGGTACAAATTCTTGCCGGCGCCGTGGCTCACTAGGCTAATCCTCCGCCTTGCGGCGCCGGCACACCGGGTTCTAGTCCCAGTCGGGGCGCCGGATTCTGTCCCGGTTGCCCCTCTTCCAGGCCAGCTCTCTGCTGTGGCCAGGGAGTGCAGTGGAGGATGGCCCAAGTGCTTGGGCCCTGCACCCCATGGGAGACCAGGAGAAGCACCTGGCTCCTGGCTTCGGATCAGCGCGGTGCGCCGGCCGCAGCAGCCATTGTAGGGTGAACCAACGGTAAAGGAAGACCTTTCTCTCTGTCTCTCTCTCTCTCACTGTCCACTCTGCCTGTCCAAAAAAAAAAACACAAGATGAAGCCAAAACAAAAAGATGGTACAAATTCTCTTCCTGATGGGAGCTGGCGACAGTCTCTCAAGTTGCTTTTGGGGATGCCATAAAGACACAGGAAGGGGACACTCATGCTCACCGCTCCACAGACTTGCCACAGACTGTATCCCATTTGTCTCTGACTTCTCCCAGTAAGTTGTCAAGTGTCTGAGTATCATCAGGAAGCAGAGTCTTCTCTTTCAGTGCTCGGCCAGTTCTAATTGTGGTATCGTACACAGGCTGTTTGCCACCAAGAGTTTTTTGAAACTCCTATGTTTCCAGAAAGCAGAGAAAAACATGTTAAAATTCAAATGATGTCTTGACTTGGAATAAAAAACAATTCTTTTTGAGTTTTCAGTGGGAATAACACTACTTCTTGACCTAAAGTTAATGATAGTTTACTCTATATAAATTTGTGATTTTTGTTTATGTCACATACAGTAGTATATAACAATTTTTAAAAGCCCACAGGCACCTGTTGCTCATAACCACTTTATTTGAACTTTTAAAAAAGCCAAATGTCATTGTTAGACAGTGCTTACAATGCCTAGATATAAAACAAAAAATCTGGCTTCATCATCTTGACTTTTTATCATTAGCCAATTGACTTTTTAAAAGTTTATTTATTTGAAGGGGGGAAGGTGGGAGGGAGAGAGGGAGAAAGGGAGGGAGAGAGAAAGAAAGGGAGGGAGGGAGGGGGAGAGAGAGAGAGAGAGAGTGAGAGAGAGCGAGGGAAATGCACATGAACCAAGAGCAAACTCTTCAATCTACTGATTCACTCCCCAAATGCTGATAATAGCCAAGGTTAGGCCAAAGGTAAAGTCAAGAGCCAGGAATTCCATCTGGACCTCCAAATGTATGGCAGGGACCTAAGTACTTGAGCCATCACCTGCTTCTCACCAGGTGTGCCTTAACAGGAAGCTGGATTAGAAACAGGCAAGGGCCGGCGCCGTGGCTCAATAGGCTAATCCTCCGCCTAGCGGCGCCGGCACACCGGGTTCTAGTCCCGGTCGGGGCGCCGGATTCTGTCCCGGTTGCCCTTCTTCCAGGCCAGCTCTCTGCTGTGGCCCGGGAAGGCAGTGGAGGATGGCCCAAGTGCTTGGGCCCTGCACCCCATGGGAGACCAGGATAAGCACCTGGCTCCTGCCTTTAGATCAGTGCGGTGCGCTGGCCACAGCGTGCTGGCCACGGCGGCCATTGGAGGGTGAACCAATGGCAAAAAGGAAGACCTTTCTCTCTGTCCACTCTGTCAAAAAAAAAAAAAAAGAAAAGAAAACAGGTAGGACTTGTTACTGATAGGGGATACATGTGTCCTAAATTGTGGTTTAAACTCACTAGGGGGGCTGGTGCTGTGGCGTAGTGGGTAAAGCCACCGTTTGCAGTGCCAACATCCCATATGGGTGCCAGTTTGAGTCCTGGCTGTTCCATTTCTGTTCCAGCTCTCTGCTATGGCCTGCAAAAGCAAAGGAAGATGGCCCAAGTCCTTGGGCCTCTGCACCCCCACAGGAGATGGGGAAGAAGCTCTTGGCTTCGGATTGGCTCAGCTCCGGCCATTGCAGCCATCTGGGGAATGACCCAGTAAACGGAAGACCCCTCTCTGCCTCTCTGTAACTCTGCCTTTCAAATAAAATAAATAAATCTTTAAAACAAAAACAACAAAACAACTCAACTGTGTGGCAAAACCTGCTTTTTTTTTTTTAACTAGTTCTGATTCCTTTTGTGTAAGCTACAACTTTTAGTGAATACCTAAGAACAATGAACTGCTTTACCTTATGCTTAGAAAGCTGAAGTTTAATCTTGTCTGGGTCATTAGATATCTCCAGTTCTGAGTCCAGATGACTTTCTGCATCTTCTAGCCAGTCAATCAGTTTTTTCCAAGCTTCATGGAACTGAAGTTATATAAGAAATAATGAATGAATATGCAAAGTACATAACTTGCATATGAGAGTCATTCCAGAGACTCAATACATACAGTTCAAAGTTGTTTAATAAATGACTATGTTTTTCTTACACTTACTTGTTTTGCTCGCTTCCGGGCATCATCTAGTGATCGGCCCCTTTCAATAGATCTCTGCACAACCTTCTCCCACCGGGACTGGACGCTAACCAACAAATTCTTGATCAGAACAACATCCTGTTTTTGGCTAAGGAACTTAAGCTGATTCCCAGTTTGATCCAACTCAATGATCTGGTCTCGATGTGCATTTACTTCATTAGCAAAAACCTGGGTTGGAGAGGACCAACAATGCTCTTTTTAAATGAAAGGTAACATAAAGAAGTATTCCTATCCTTTAGCCCTTTCAAAAGGCAGACAACACCATCATGTCATAGTTACCTTGTGCTCCTCTATCTGGGAAAGGACAGTGTTTAGAATCAGGCTGGGAGGAGAGGCGATGTTTAAACTCTGCTCTGCTAGAGTGAGCCAGTTGATAAATTCTTGTAGGGAATTCTGGAATTCTGTTGCCAGGTTGAGAGCTTCTTCCAGCTTTGACTGAATTTTTAAGTAAAACACACAAAGAGAAAAAGTGCCAAATTCAGAAATTATAGCTTCAGTAACAAAAGTATGAACTGTACACCACATAAAATGATCTCTAAAAAGGAAGCCTCATTTAATCAACCTCCAAACATGCCTTGTTTGTAAAGAAGGGGACATTTCAATGTCTGTCTGAAACTGAACAATGGGATAAGGACTGTGTTCGTGGAAAACACGGCACAATTAGCAGTGGACTTCCTTTCTCTGCTCTTCCACACTTCCTGGGACATTAAAACAAACAAACAAACAAACAGGAATAAAGCTATTCAGCAAATGCTAAGTCACCAGACCTTTCAGTGGGGACAGCTGCAAGATCTGTAACTTGCTTTGGGCAAAGTCTCAGGTTCTTTCCTTTAATGTGTTTTTGTGGTGTAAAATGGTTAAATGAAAAGCACGTTACCCCAAAGATAATGTCCACTGCTGTGATCTCTGCTTAAATACATGCTTTCAGAAAACAAGGCACATGAAAAAGCCCAAGTCTGAAAGCAGGAAAGGTCATTAAAAGAAGCCATGACATTCTAGGCAGACATCTGACCACACTACAAGTAAATTACTGGCCACTTTCACCCACCCAGGATGGCAAAAGAACTGCACTGTCAGGACAAGAGCAAACCCCGGTTTCAGGGTCCACAAGCTCTATTCTCAGAGACCCTAACCCCAGCGTCTCGGTGATCACTTCTGACTCTTACCCATCTATGAGGCAGGCAAGGCAAAATCCTGATAGGACACCAAAAATGAAAATACACAGAAAAACCCTAAGTTGTACACTAGAAATGCTAACTGCTGTTAATTCTGTTTGGGTTATGTATGACTTTTATTTTCCTCTTTGCGTTTTCAGGTTAATCTTGTAATTGCTCCCCTCTTCCACCCAAACATTAATTAATGTCATTGAAAGTACAAATAATCAGGGCCAGTGCTGTGGTGTAGCAGGTAAAGCCACTGCCTACAACACTAGCATCCCATACAGGTGCTGGTTCATGTCCTGGATGCTCTACTTCTGATCCAGCTCCCTGCTAATGGCCTGGAAAAAGCAGTCCCTGCCACCCACGTGGGAGAGCCAGATGAAGCTCCTGGCACCTGGCTTCAGCCTGGCTCAGGCCTGGTGGTTGCAGCCATCTGCCTTTAAAATGAATAAAATTAATATTAAAAGAACGTTTAGAAATTAAGGCATTGCAAGCTCTTAGATGTCAAGAATTTTTCCACACAGTAGTCTTTAATAGAGCACCATACATACTTACTTAAATGACTTGGGTGATTCTGAAATTTAATGTTTCTGCAAAATCAGAAACAAATATCCTTGATGCCCAGTTTTTGTTTGACCAGTTCCATGATGAGGAACAGCTACTTCCAAGACACATTTGGGAAGTGGAGCAGCTGGGACCAAACTGGCACTCTGATCCGGTATGCGAGCATCCCAAGAGTGAGCTTTACCTGCTGCATCACAACATCAGCCCCTGGCCATTCTTCATAACAAAATTACCCAACCCTACACTACAAGGATTCTAATCTGGCAAAATGTTCACTTATATGTTAAATGCTTTATGAGCTTCTGCCTAGTAGTTTCACAATGACAGGGTCCATGCATTTATTATTCCCACTAATAAACCCAGTGTAAAACCTAGTACACACTTGCTCTGAAAGTATTTATTATGTGCAAAACAGGTTTGTACGCACATTTCACACTTGATCTGACAAAGCTTTTTTTTTTCCCCCACATTTTTACTCCAAAAAATAATAATTCAGGACAAGGTATTTATAGTTCTCTGTTTTTGAAAAGGAACTGATTTTTGAAGAATGGCAAGAAGCCATCTTGATTTTTAGTAAATTTTTTTCCACACTGCATTGATACTAGAAATCAAATTCCTTGTAGAGAATGAGTAGTCATTCTCCTTATGTGGCCTGACCCCACCTTCCCAATTCCAAGTCACCAACTCAAGCAAAACCTTGTTTTTGAGTGAGAAGACAAACTGGTGAGTAGCATGTGATTTAAAGTCCATGACTAAAGCGTTACCAGGTACTAACATCTTAACTGGTAGATATAGAAAAGAAACTCATAATTAATCATAAACAGTATCAATGCAATTTGACATGAATGTAAAATGGAAACTTAATGGCAGAAAAGAGAGCTTGATTAGTCAGAGGCCAGCTTGGCGGGGTTTGGTTCTGCAGCTTCTGTTGGAATATGCAAAGATCTTTACAGAAACAAGATGGTAACCACACACAATCACCAGGCCCACGACTCAGACACCGCAATCCCATGGTGTGCTCTGTGGCAATACCTTTCTTTCCTCCATCTTACTGCTGACCACGCGCCACTTCTGCTCCAGGAGCGCCACACTCTGTTCTGTCTTGGAGCCAGATCCAGAATCACCACGGCTGAGGAGCATGAGTCTGCCCTTGTCAAGCAGCTGATTGTAAGTCTCCTCCTTGGCTTTCAGCTGGGAGTACAGTTCCTATGAGAAAAGGCAGGGAGGATATCAATAATGCTAACTCTGGGGAAGACACCCCCACAGGTTCACTAGCAGTCTGGAAAATTCCAAGAAGGCCTCAAATGACAAAAAACTTTTCTTCTGGATTCAGTTAAACTGCTGAGTGAGCACTAGGGAAAAATGCATCTCCCTTAACAGTAAAATGATTTTGTCACCAAGTAAATAAGAGAAAAACAATTTTTAGGATCAGAGATTATAAAAATAGACCCCAATAGTTTCTCCTTTTCATGAAGGATTTGCTTGGAAATTATGTTGCCTTTTGTTCTCAGCATTCTTTTTTGAAATATTGCCAATATCTACTGGATTTCCCCAAATCTCCACTAAGGAGTCTTCTGAAATATAAACACATTGTGTCATATTTTAGTCTTCTGATCCTCTCAACTTCAAGTCAATATTCTTGTGTCAACCAAAGGGATCAATTAAAAATTTTCCATCTCACCAATGTATTTCCCGTTAACTCTTCCCTGTCACTACTGTTGCCTATGGTTAGGTACTAAAAACCTATAGATGAGGGGCATTAAAAGGGGAGGGGGTGGCCAGCACTGTGGTGCAACATGCTAATGTTGCCTGTGATGCTAGCATGCCATATGTGTGCCTATTTGAGTCCTGGCTGCTCTACTTTTGAACCAGCTCCCTGCTAATGCACCTAGGAAAGCAGTGGAAGATGGCCCAAATATCCGGGCCCCTACTACCCATGTGATAGAAGCATATGAAGCTCCTGGCTTCACCCTGACCTGGCCCTGGCCATTCTGGAAGTGAACCAGAGAATGGAAGGTTTCTCTCTAACTCTACTGTATTACTTTGTAAACACTCAGATAAATTTATCTTTGTGCATTGAGAAAGGGGCTACTGAATAAGGGCTGCTTATGCTCAGTTTCAAGAATTGCTTTTACCATATGTGTATCAAGCTGTTCCCTAGCGGTTTCAGGAAGTCCTCCTGTGGGCTTAGATGCAGAAAGTTGACTCTCCATTCTAGTCAGTTCCAGGAGGAAATCTTCAATTTCACTGTGGAAACCCTGGGCCTTTTGAGAGAAAGATACCAGGATATCAGCAGTCAATTCTCAGTTTCAAGAGTAAACTTGCAAGATGATCATATGAGAACTTTGAGGAGGAATTTTGGTCTGTTCTCAGGCAGAGGTATTCTGTTGCTGGGATTACTATGGGGCTGATTTATTTAATTACTGTTACAATCAAGCTGAATTCTTTACCAGGGTGGGGAACATCCGGCTTGCAGGCCATATAAGGCCTATGAAATCATTTGGTCTGGTCTTGCCAAGACAACCACAGGCAGGACTCAAAATGCAAACAGGACTCGAAACTCAGCAGCCTGATTTTTAAGTTGATAATTTCGTAAGACTCATGAATGATGTTATAAATATCTAAATGCCCTTGGCAGGAAAAAAACCTCTCTATAACATACTATAGACACCTGCTATAATCTGATGATGAACTGACTAACTGACCAAGGTGCTGTTAAATGAGGAGGAACCTGACTTGATCTGAGGAAAAAAAACTGAATCTGTGACAAAGGTATTACAGTGCAGACCTACTAACCTTGAACAGTTTACAGACTGGGCTACAAATGAGTACCGAAAGAACCTCCACTCAAAAGCAGTTCTTTTCCAGAACAGAAAGGATTTTCCCTCTTAAGATATAGGGGGTTCTGCCTCATATTGCTTTCCTCTCTCTGCCTTGACTTAGGCTCTCTTTCAGATGTTATCTGCACAGATCTTCTGACCTGGCTTGGATGACGCTTGTACCTGCTGTAGTGTCGACTGCAGCTGCTGCTCCCTCTCCTCTGTTTTTTGTAACACTGACTCCCAGCACTGGTTCATGGTTTCCAAACGGCTCCTTAAGCTGCTGGCATCATCTCCAGCACTGGATTCAAGCAGCTCATTGCCAGCTTTATTGACTGTTTCCACTGTGGCTTGATGAGCCAAAACATCATTTTTCAGGACCTAAAACATGTTGAACAACATAATTTATCTCTACAGATATCACCAAGCCTGGTTCTCTAAGATACACACACCATCAAAAGGCTTCCTCTGGTGGCTGGATCTGGTCTCAAACTAAGAGAGTAGAGATGAAAAATGAAAATACTTACATGGTGCTTTGCGAGCTCAACTTCAATGACTTTTGGATCTCCGCTTATTGGTCTCTGAGCATCTAACAACTCTTCAGTGTGAATCAGCCAACTCATCAGTTCCTCTAGGGCATGCTGGAACTGGCCAAGGGCCAAGAGAGCACCTTCTAGCTTATGCTACTCAGAAAAAGACAGAAAGGGAACATTGGTTAGGAAGTGAGAAAAGGCAGTAATAGCTCATTTACCGACTCTACCATGCACCCTACCTGTCTGTGGGCAATTTTCTCACACAGATTCTCCCAGAGGTGTTTGAGTTCTGTCAGTGGTTCTCGTATAATGTCTCTGTCCGTTTCATCAGTAGCTTTCTTTAACATCAGCTCACCCTGGTGATTAAGCTTCTCCATCTCAATTTGCTGCTGGTAAACTTCCACTTTGAACTCCTATTAAAAACATACTTAACATCAAACCAAGCCTTTAAAAATGAAAAAGGAGCAATATTCTCAAATCCCATTCCCACATACAAACCTTCATTTCATTCAGCTGGTCTTTAACAGTGTTGAGGTCAGTGCCAACAGGAGGCATGGTACAGAGTTTAATCACAGTGTTATCTAGCCAGTCAAACATAGCCTAAAATAAAATTACAAAGAGTCAAAAACAAAACATGGGAGTCAAGAGAGAACTGCCAGGATTCCTAATAACATAAAAGTTAAATCAAAGCACCTTATGCCATCTGTGGTTTAATTAAGGGGCAGAGGTAAGGGAGAATGATTTTTATTCCAAAAACATCAGGATTTGGGAATAGAGTCAACATTATTGGCATGATGCCAAAAATAAACTACAATCTAGAAATACGAGGTACTTAAAAGCTCTTGGAAAATGGAATTAGAAGATAATGTTTACTTTGGTGCAAAAATTTTTGAAGTCCATACAAACACCTGAGTAGTCTTTGTAAAGTTCAAGGAAAATGTGTATCATGAAAAAGCTTTGTGGATTTCAAAATTCTTTGGCACCAAAATAAACTTTTAACTCTGTTTTTCTACAAACTTTTAGAAGTACCCTTGAACTCAATTTGAACGAAGGTCAGTGTTTCTCATTGGCAGCTAGCTAGCTCACGATGTCCTAAAGCTACTGTGCCAAGTTGTATCTCCAGATAACCTGGGCTTGGAACTTCAAGCAGGCAACGTACGGCCAGCTTCACCGTACAGCTGAAGGACAGGTATGGTGAGCACGCAGGATGACAGAAACAGCAGGAGGAGCAGAAATTTGTACACGTCAGTACTTTTCTCATTAAAAGTGGGAAACCTGTCTCACATTTGAAGAAGATAGTCCAATCTTGTGCTGGATTCAGAAAATGACACAGGGCAAATGGAACCTGTCTTTCCTTGGTGCCGCCTCCTGACCTCTCACCTGAAGAGTGTCCTGATACTGCACAGCAGCTTGCATGGCGTCCTCCAGTTTCTCTAGCCTCTCTTTCCATGTCTTGTTTAAGTTCTCCCAAGCATTATTCATCTAGGGAAAAAACACTCAATCAGATTTTCCCATTATTGCCACTCTCCAGTCCGAGGCCACCACATTTCACGGAATCCTTGTCCCTTCCTCCACACCTCATCAATGCTCTTCTTTACTTCAGGCTTCTCAGTTTCCCCACAGGCAAAGATCAAATCTGCTCCAAGGATTCGGATGAACTCCAACTCCTCATGCAGCCCATCTGTCTCCTCCTTAATAGTCTACATGGAAACGAACAGAACATGAGCCAAAACAGAGTAGAACAAAACTTCTCAAACTTTGCAAATGTAATTTATACCCTCATCAATAGCAGATGTTTAGCAGAACTGGTGGCTTCACAAAAGTTTCTCAATGTTTATAATAATATTTCACTTTCTAGATGGTGAAGCTTCAGGCTCCAGGAGGTTATTTCCCATATATACACACACACTCCAGATACATACGCAAACATACAAAACAGTATAGCAAAAGTACAATGAGCTTCGGTAATTTACCAAATGCTCATCCCTTCTTGCCTCCAAGGAGATTAAAATCTATAGCCAGAAGTCTGTTACAGAGATTACCAACAGGGGTAAACTAATTCAGCACAAGTCACAAACTTGAGTGCTGAAAGACAGTCCAGCGTAACAGGAGTGCTAGGCTATATAATCTGGAAGAAAGTCAGTTCTGTACCAGGTCCTAAAGAGTGATTCATGGACTGGCACTGATGTGGTACAGAGGAGAATTTCTATAAGGAAAAATAGCTGAAATAAAAATAAATAAATAATGGGGCATTGTGGTGTAGTGGGTGAAGCTGCAGTGCCGACATCCCATGTGGGCACTGGTTTGAGTTTCAGCTACTCTACTTCTTATCCAGCTCTCTGCTATGGCCTGGGAAAGCAGTAGAAGATGGCCCAAATCCTTGTGTCCCTGTGCCCATGTGGAAGACTCAGAAACTCCTGGCTCCTGGCTTCAGATTGGCTCAGCTCTGGCCATTGCAGCCATCTGGGGAGTGAAACAGCAGATATAAGACCTTTTTCTCTACATCTACCTCTGCCTCTCTGTAACTCTGCCTTTCAAATAAGTAAATCTTAATAAATAAATGTAAGAAGAGACAGAATATTAAGATAGGCTTGTCTTTGTGTTAAACGGATAAGAAATGAATTTAGCAAAAATTAGACTCCCTCAAAAGACTACAAAAACATGTCAAAGTAACAATTTCTTTTTTTTTTTAAAGATTTATTTATTTTATTTGAAAGTCAGATTTACAGAGAGAGAAGGAGAGGCAGAGACAGAGAGACCGGTATTCCATCTGCTGGTTCACTCCCTAAATGGCCGCAGCAGCCGGAGCTGTGCCAATCTGAAGCCAGGAGCCAAGACTTCTTCTGGGTCTCCCATGTGGGTGCAGGAGCCCAAAGACTTGTGCCAACTTCCACTGCTATCCCAGGCCATAGCAGAGAGCTGGATCACAAGAGGAGAAGCTGGGACTCAAACCCATACAGGATGCTGGCACTGCAGGTGGTGGTTTTACCCGCTGTTACACAGGACCAACCCCCAGTAACAATTCTTATTGCTGGAAAATGAATCCAAGATCGATTCTTATTTTCCACTGTTTATTCTCAGATAAAATGCTTTTCTCTAAGACATAAGAGATAGGGTTTTGTTTTTGCCTTACCTCAGCAGCTTCAACCTGTTGCTTGATGATAGATGGGTCAATGCCAGGGCTTTCCAAGTCATGGATGATATCCTGGGTGTCTCTCATGGTCGCCAGGAGAGCTGCCATGTCATACCAGAACTTCTCTGCTAACTCAAGGACATCAAGGAACTTAATTTCTCGCTCTTCAGCCCGAGCTTTGATGTCCTCCCAGAAGAATACCATCTGATCCAATTTGTCTTGGATTTCTGAGGAGGTAAAGATGACACCTGAATAAGCACGTCCATCTAAATCTGACACTTTCAAGGAAATATTTATCAAAAAGCTCTAGTTCTCTACCTTAGCTTTACTTTTATTATTTTGAGTTAGCATTTTCTGCCTATGTTGGTCTCCTACATGAAGGGATCACAGAGTAGTCTGGAAACAGACTGCCACGTGATATAAAGGTGCTGCTAATTTACAAAACCTTTCATTTATAAAGGGGCTGAGAAGAGAACTATTTCCAGTGTGCTGTGTGGGACTTGTGGCATGCTTCCTAAGGAAAGTGTTACAAAAGGTAGTTCTACCCACTACTGATACTGTAGTTTACTCACATTAGGGGTTAAAGGAGCATTTGTTTCCTGGCCTGGGAATCTAACTACCAATTGTAACCTTGTTTCAATGGGAAACTGTGCTCTGAATTCTAAGTGACTTCAAATGGCTTTCTGGAATACTCATCACTTGGGGATGGCTCTTGCTTTCACTGAAACACATCTGGTGGGATGTTGGATAAAACCACATCCTGGAATTTATCTAGTGATTTTCTTTAAAAATGATGAGCTCCATCAAGCACCTTTTGCAGCCAGATCCTTGTCTGCTCCCTGGGATCGCCCGATGAGCTCTTCTCCACGGTGCTTCAGGGCGTCAAAGGATGGCTGCAGTTTTTCTAGCTCCACAGTGGCACTCTTGTTGTCACTGATGCACTCACGGATTTTGTCTACTTCAGCAGGAATTAGTGGTGGCATCCGCAGGCGAGAGGAAAGGTTCTCCAGCGTCTCCAACATGGGCTCAATTTTATCGTGGAACTAAACAAATGTTGGAACATTAGCCATCATGGCAATTCACCTCATTTCTTAGAGGAAATGTTAGGGAATGAAGACAAGCCATAATTCTCTTACTATTAAGCATAACCTGTGCTCAGCCTAGCCCAATGGCTGTTACACACTGGATTTGGCTAACAAACTGCTTTGGGCATAGTACACCAGAGCTGGCACATCAGAAAAAAGAAAAGCTGATAATTAAAATATTAACTAATTCACCAGAAATCAACTCAAATCTGGTGCTGCCACATTTTTTTTTCTGTCAACTAATGTGACAAGAAAGGGACAAGACTATGAAACTGGCGAGAGTCAGTGTGTCAACATCTCAGATGACAGGTGCATGCAACAGACTAGACCAATGAGTTAGATGCCCTCCACCAGCTGTGTCAATGGATGGGGAACTTAATAAACTGCATGATTTGGAGTTTAAAACTATTATGGCATGCAATTTAACAACCCCACTGTATGGAACAGTGAGAAAGGAAAATGTTCGCATGATGAAAAGACAATTAAGGCAGGCCAGATCTAACTTTTACCTTCCTACTTTTTCTGGTACTTTGAATAACATGACTACAATTGTAAAATTCTCATTTGTAATATGGCACAGAGGGGACAAAAGGGGTCAGAACAGATATGCTTGTCTCTAAAAAAGGTATCTAAAATCAACTCTGTATTCATTAATTAGAGTAAGGCTTATCAATTTTAAATGTAAAATTGAAAAGACATAGTGGGATTTCCTTAACAAAATCACTTCCCATCACTTTTCAGTTCCACCCCCAGGTGAAAGTGGCATAATAAATTGCACTAATCAAATTCACCAAAGTTAAGGAAAATTTCCTTATAGGCAATGCCCTGGATTTTCAGTTTTATAAGAATACCCTAATCCCAAAGAGGGTGGGGACCTTACCTCTGTAATCTGTAATGGTGGGCGCGGTCAACACAACAATGAAATGTGACGATGTGGGGAAGACAGGAGCAGGCAGCAACACACAAAGTAACACATTCCACAATGTGAGTGAGAGATGGGACGGGAGGTGGGGGGAGAAACTTGAGTGAGTACAAATATTAACCAAGAACACTGACTAAACATAGGAATAAAATACCCAGACATGACAAAAGTGCCACTAACAGTAATACGCATATATTAGTTGCACAGTATGTAGTTACATGCTTTAAATCCACTGCTGGTGGTTTATGTTTCTCTTTGGCTCTGACTTCTCCCTACTCAAGCATCATTCTGTGCTCTAGGAGCTAGCAGGCGGCTCCCTGAGTAAGAAAACTAATGTGTGGTGCTTTTAAATCTCAAAAGTAACAGGCTATTAGGAACCTGAAGTCTGCTGAGGCTATCACTGCTTCTCAATCTACAAGGTAAATTTATCCAAAATCATCTCTGCTAAAGGATTATCACAGCACAGAGTTTCAGGGAAACCAATAACAGACATACATATCAGCCAAGGTGCATTTTAACCTCCTTACAGTGCCCACAGACTCACGTTCCTGGGAATAAAAATGCAAGTAGGCAAAGCTTCCTACTTTCTTGGAAATGTACATGTATCACCAGCATGCTGGTCTGGATATTCCTAAGCACAGAGGCATAACTGATTCAGAGAACTCCTGATTAGACTAACACACAACTGAAGGCTGCAGGAGTCTCAGACAGACACATACCTGGGCAGACTGGGAAATGGCCTCATCCAGAGCCAGGGCCCGTTGGCGCACCTCTTCTTTTATTTGTGCGTACATGTTTTCTGCTTTCTGATATTTTTCTTCCACCATTTCCCCTTCCTCAGGGTTTAACTCCTTTAGTTGTGGCCCTATTTTCAGTAGTTTATCAATATGAGGTTTGTGTTCAGCAATGGATTCTCTTAGTTGCTATGGAAAGAAATACAGATTAAAACATAATAAGCATATATTTTTGAGGGAGAGAGAGAGGGAGAGGAAGAGGGACAGGGAGAGAGAGAAAGAGAGAGCAAGAGCAAGAACTCCCCCATCTTCTGGTTCAATCTTCAAATGTCTGCAATGGCTGGGGGACAGAAGTTAAGAGCTGGAGCTGGTGCTGTGGTGCAGCAAGTTAAAACTCCAGCCTGTAGCACTGGCATCCTATATGGGTGCAGGTTCGAGTCCTGGCTGCTCCCTGCTAACATGCCTGGGAAAGCAGTGGAGGATGGCCCAAGTCCTTGGACCCCTGCACCCACATGGGAGACTTGGAAGAAGCTCTTGGCTCCTGGCTTCGGATCTGCTTAGCTCAGGCTGTTGTAGCCATTTGGGGAATGAATCAGTGGATGGAAGACCTCTCTGTCTCTACTGCTCTTTCTTTCAAATAAAAAAAAAATAAATCTTAAAAAAAAAAAAAGTCAAGAGCCAGGAACTCAATCCAGGTCTCCAATATGGGTGGTAGAAACCCCATTATTTGAGCCATCACAGTTGCCTCCCAAGGTATGCATGAGCAAGAAGCTGGAGTTAGGAGCCAGAGTTAAATATCAAACCCAGGTACTCTGATGTGGAATGTGGGTTTCCTAACTGCTAGCCCAAATGCCCAGTTTCTTTGTGTGGTAATTTGATTGGAGCCAATGCCAACTCTGAGGAATAAATCAAACTGCTAAAAACCAGCAAGTCCCAGGATCTCACTATTTGTGGAGAATCAAAAAACACACAAGTCGTAAGTCTTGGTCTGACACTTACAAGGCTATCCTACCCTCTTCTGTACCATAAATACGTCTACACACTATCTTGCACCTTATATGGTTTAACATCTGTCTGCATCCCCAGAATCAGAGATGCCAAGCAGGATAGACAATGAATAGCAACAGTCCTGGCAAGCCAATCTCTCGCAGACTTTGTTCTGACTACTTCCAGTTTACATTCTTCCACTTACAGGAATATGGGGGTAGCAAAAAGCACAAGCCATGCACCAGAAGAAACAAACTTTAAGGGCAACAGCATTAGCTGAGATGTCTGTAAATCTCCCTTCTGTCTTAACCATACACAGCAAATGCTTTCTGACATTCCTTCATAGTTCTCACTCGAGTTGGTGCCTCATCAAGTGCAGTCACCCAACCACACCCTGAGTTTAACAAGAGTCCATTGTTCCCAGAAATGTTTTAAGTTCCCTTTTAGTTTGTTCTTTCTTTAGCACTGTAATATCTAAGTTCTCAACATCTCCACAATCTTATTCTTTCATCAATTTGAATTAAATATCAAAGGAAATAATTCAGATACACATTTTTATTGCTCAAAGAGGTTGTGCTTAACAGTTGACTTCATGTATCCGTGTTGGTGCAAACTGTTGAAATATTTACTTAGTACATACTAAGTAGATCTTCTGTATATAAAGATAATTGAAAATGAATCTTGATGAAGAATGGGATGGGAGAGGGAGTGGAAGATGGGATGGTTGCTGGTGGGAGGGAGGTTATGTGGGGAAAAGCCACTATAATCCAAAAATTGTACTTTGGAAATTTATATTTATTAAATAAAAGTTGAAAAAAAAAAGTTGCACCTAGCAGACACTGATACACATTTTGTTTTTCAGTAAATTACAGAGCAAGCCCACTTTAAGTTCTGCAGGAAAATAAAACTTGGCGAGCTCCTTACCCTCATTTCCTCTTGCTGCTGTCTGAGCTGCTCGTGATCAATAGCTGGAGGAGGTAACTGTGCTATTAGTGCCCGAGTTTCCTCAATCCAGGGGCTGAGCTCTTCGTAGGTTTCCCAAAACTGGTTCACTAAGACCTGTGCCCGCTCTAGGCGAGCATAACGCTCTGAATTAAGCAGGCTAATGGCTTCATACTGTTGTATTAGAGACTCTGTCTTTTCCTGTGAAAAAGAAAAGAAAGGTGTAAGTTTTACTATTATGGAACTGCCTTTTAAGAAAAACAAGTAGGCATACATCCATTTAAAAGTCTAAAGGAATACACACAAAAAGTTATTAACAAATATGGCCTATAGTAGTGCCACTGTAAGTGATCTTTATTTCTTTAAATTTATCTGAATTTTCTAATTTTCAAATCAAACATATTATTTCAATGTTTAAAATCTGAAAACAGTTTAAAAGATAGTAAAATAGCACAAGAAAAGCAAGAAAAATTAATGTTTTAGTAAAGACATACAATGATAAACCATTATTGTAACAGATCAGTTCAGAACAGGGTATCTCCAGGGCTATGAGGAAGCCTTTGCCTATCAAGTTTCCCTTGTCTTTCTTCTGATCAAAAAGTCTCCAGAAACCTGGTATTCTTGTTTCAAATAGCTAGGATGAGTCGCACAACTCCTGATGAAATATGGTTAACTATATCCTTTCAAAACAAGTGAAACTGGTCTATACACTAACTCTCTTGGGTCAATCCTTTTAAAAATACGTATAGGACCTTTTAGAAGGACTTAAAGAAAAAAACTAGTATCCGAATGTGGGTCCGAAAAACCTGCCATACATATCTTGAGAAGTAATACAAAGCCACTTCCCTATAGACTGAGGATAAGAAGCCATAAAGAAGATGGATTTGCACTATATTTCACGTGATACAGTATAGCTGTTTAGACATGTATGAACACAGGACTAGGGATTTGAATTTCTCAGAAAATCAAAAATTGTCCTTTAATAACAATCAGTAACAAGAAAGCCAAAAAGGGAAACATCTTTAACCATCATTTCACAATTGTTCTTCTAATTCACTATGAGCAATAAAAACCCAATATGGTGAATTAATAACTGAAATTCACCTGTAATACAGCTTTCTGCTCCTCCCCACATGTGCCAAAGATTTCACCACGGTGACTGAAGAGTTCATCCATTGAATCTTTGTGTCGAATGATATCAATAGAGAAAGCCTTTGAAAAGTAAACGGGAGTTAGGTCAGGAAGTAAATGGAACCTGGGCCTGTGTCAGTGAACGGTAAGACAGAACCTGTGAAAAATTCCTTGTTTTAAAGCCACCTAAAAAATTGTTCTTAGAAAGTTTGACACTTCACCTATCCAACACCTTTTCAGTAGCTTACAAAAATATATTCCCTCCTAAAAATCATCCAAAAGCCTATTTCTCCTTTAATACAAGGCCAAAAATCTCTTCTTCATATAAAGTATCTGTAAAATAAATTTCTATCCACAATTATGCCATTAAATCATTCCACTTGACTTTGGATAATCAGAAACTCTCCTAGTCTCTCTACGCTCCTGGGAGCTCTCCTAGCTCAGGGCATGGTGGACACATGGGTGTCACACTTACCTTCTGCACCTGCAGCTGAGCTGTGGTCTGGTCCTGTTCCAAGCGAATTGGACCCAGGGCCATCAGTTTCCGTTTTGTTTCAGCAACCCAAGCTAGTTCTGCATCAGCAGCTTGTTCATACTAACAGACATAGTGAGGGAAAAAAGGGAAAAATTATACACAGTCAGGGCCTCCTTAGAAATTTAAATTATTCAATACCAAAAAGCCTGGATTTTTAGTAATACAGTCTATATCTCACAAAGTAAAGAAAAAATGGGAAGAATTTCATAAAATCACAAATCCAGATGCAGACAAATCAGAACTGATCATATTTTGTCCTTTTAAAAAGAAGTTACAGATCTCAGTTACTGGTCTCACAGCTACAAACAACAACAGACATTAACACCCTTCAACAGAAATATGCTTCTAATCAGATTGCTTTTACAAGACTGCATTCTCTTCCTGCCAGCCCTCTTCCCTACCCATAAATTGAACTGTAGTTTTAGTAGTCAGACGTTTAAATATAAACTGAGCATGGCTATAGACAGCTGAGTCAAGTTAACTTGGAAAAACTCCCTCAGCTGAAGAAGTCCCCAGAAGAACATCAAACCTTCCCATGGTTGTACAACAACCAGAAACATGTTCTATATGATTGTTCTTCATGAATATCCCCAATCTTATATCTCTTCCCCTTCAACTCTGCCAATCTATGCTAACATTTAAAGACAAAAGTAAGCTTCTCCCAAGCATAAGTTTCATACTGAAATATCTGGGCAAGATCAAGGATAACACGGAAGATATGCTGCAGATATACTTAGAATCAAAGCAAACTTCCATGTGGCTCAGACAGCATTTGCTTATCCCCATGAGCCCAAGGAGTCATGTTTATTAATTTGTGTGTGTTTATGACATGACACATTAATAGGTGCACATCCAGCTACAGAAAAAAGCAAGTATCTTTTTTCCAGAAAGCAGGAAGGAAAAAAGATCAAGGGAAATATGACACCTGTGTTTACTGAGAGGGTTCTATTTTGGATGGCTCTGCTATTTTGGTTTGCATATTTGATAGTAATTATAGTTCTTGGTTCCTTCCCCTCTTCCATCTAATGCTAAGACAGTTGATTATATCAAACTAAGACTGGGATGCATTTGGTCCTTTAGGTCTCGATATCACCTCCTCCCTTCACTATTAATCTGTCTTAGGAGGGTAGTGGTGAAGAAAGGCCTCACATAGACTTGTCTCTAAGTTCTTCTCTATACAAAGGGGTCGAGTATTTTGGATCAGCCTTGGATTCACCCTCACAAACCTCTGAAATACGCCAGTCACATCAGATTTAGTTTGGTCTCATTCTTCTTGTTCCTGAGGCAGTAGCTATAGGGATCAAGGTATTGTACCTCACACACCTATCCTCACTGATGAAAACATTAATGCCAAGTGTTTACAAACATTACCTGCTGTGATCTCTGAATAGCAGCATCAATTTCATCCACCCTTTGTCCAATGGTGTCACTGACCAATTTGTACTGCTCGTTGGCATCGGACACAAGTTTATCCAGCCCCTCTCGGGCTCTCCAGGGCACGAGCTCTAAGAGAGCACGGCTCACCTCGTTCACTGTGTCCAACACCAGCCTGTGCTCCATGACCTCCTTCTTTAATTCCTAAGAAGGGAAAAAAGTTTTCAGGCCATTCTTTGCTAAATTAAGCACATTAGCAGCTGTGCTGGGTGTAAAGCGCTATCTCTACCTCTCATCCCAGCAGGGCACTGACCTCCTTCCTTCAGTTATTTTTTTTCTTGTCTCAGGTTTTTCAGTCATCCCTTAGGCTTAGCTGCTGCTTAGCTAGAATTATTTGCACAATTTAAGCCAGACTGACTCTTGTAAAACAAGTAAGTGTTCTTTTCTTTTTTATTCCCACTACCACAGAAATGGTAAATAATACTTTTAACTCTAGGTATTTAACTTAAGACGTACCTACATGGTATTTCTGCACAACTTGAATGATACTAGATCTTGCAGGAGAATCAAATAAAATCATGAAGCACTCTTTGGATTATGAACCATACAGGTAAATTAGAAAATGGTACACACAAAGCAAACCTCCTACGAGTCTCTGACTCAACTTCTTTCTTCTTCAAACCATAACAAGTGCTCTTTTACACAGTTTTACATCAAACCTTAATGCCCGTGAGTAAATAAGAAGGAGGCAGGCAGAAATTCTGATTTAGATTTAAGTGTAAAGGTGATAAAACAAGGATTCTGGCAAAGAGGACACTTTTTTTCCTTTTACAGTGAAATGATGGCTCACCTTCTGTCTTTGCTGAAACTGGGGTATCTGCTCCCCTGTGGGAGACTGTCCTCCACTGGCTGCCAGCTCGTCCTCCACAGCCCTCAGCCACCCGGTCAGTTCCTCGTAAGTAGACTGGAACTTGGTGGCCAGCTGCCGGGCTTGCTCTAAAGTTCTGAGGGCCTTGGAGCTCGTGACCGTGATATCTGCATAACGAGTCTTGATTCCATCCAGTTTCTCCTGGATAAGTAATACTTCTTCACCTGTGGAAGATGGCACACAATCATTCTGATGGAAGAGATCTAAAGATGCGGGAGTCCTTTTAATCTCTCTTTTTTCAAATCAGAGTTTAAACCTTATATATGCTTCTCCCCCTGTGGTAGTGATGTCACCTAACATCCCACATGGAGGGTAAGTGGGAAATGAAATAAATCTTTCACTTGATAAAAAGAAGCCACTTCTGAGATCACTATAGGATCAGAGTTCAGTTGCTGGTATTTCCAGAACTCCAGCACTGTTCAGTGAGCACTGGTATTGGAGATCCTGGAGGGCAGAGGGGATCACTATCTATAACTGGGTGTGAGAGACTAAGTCTTTGGTTTTGCAAAGATTTAGCAGTAAATGAGAACAGGCTGTCAGCCCCACCTTGGAGCACAGGGTAATACAATCAGTGAGAGGTGGCTAATGCAGGGTGCTTATTTCCCTGGACCACAGAGATGATAAGAGATGCACTTCTCAAAGTACCTGTGGTTTGTTTTAGAAGAGCCTGACCATTCTTAATAGCTTGATCTACATTCTTCTTTCTATTAACAATCTCTTCATTTAGAGCCTGAAAGGAAAGAACATCATTACTCCCCAAACAAAGAGAAAGAAATTTGAGACCCTTAAAGGTCAAATTTAAAGTAAGGAGAAGAACACCAGTTTAAACAACAGATTCCCTTCTTATCTCTTTGGTTATCCCACTGATTCTACAAAATAATTAAACCAGATACTTAAAGGCAGTCTTCCTTTGTTCTGGTTGAGAAGAGATTTAGGATTAAATCAGCTTTACCAATCTGTGAGGCACCAAACATGAACCCAAGACAAGTAGCAGCGGAATTCAGCAAAATGTCCTATTATGTACAAAACAAAACACTAAGACAGATGTTTAGGAGAAGAAAGTCAGCAAGAACATATCAACTTAAATCAGAGCCTGGTAAAAAACTTTCTCCACTGAAGTCAATGAAGCAAAAGAAATCTTAGACTATCAAAAGAATAGCAAAGGAAAACTCTGCTTTCCACTAAAATGATACAGAATCCCTAGAATTTCAGCATATAAATTAAAAAACATTTTTAAAGTGATAACTGCATGATCAAATCCTGGACACTATTTAGGTAAATCTGGTTTTGTTAAAGTACATTCTCTTTCAAAAAACTGCTCAAATGGATACTGAGAGATACATGACCTAGTGATGTCAATCACAAGTTGAGGTTAAGAGAGCCTCTGACTATATCCTGTATCACTTTCTAGAATTACCAATTCAGTTTGTTAAATATAAATATTCCCATGGACTCATCCGAAAAAGGATTACTATTTAACACCAACTCTGTAAACTATGCACTTGTGTATAAAAAAAATTCAAAGTGTTTGGAATGAAGAAGAAAAGAAAAAGAAAGAAATGAAGAAAAACAGAAATCAAAACTATAAAATAAGTTAGTAACATAACCAAGAAGAATGGAAAACATGAATACCAGGTGGTCGGCATGCTGTTTCTGCAGGACATCCTGTCTGTAATCCTTTACGAACACTGAACTGAGCTTGTCCTCAACCTCAGCCAGCCAGTTGAGCACCTCCACTTCATCCTCCCCAAACAGTCTAGCGTTAGACAGGGCTTGTTCAAGCAGGGCTGCTTTCCGACAGCACCGGTCTTGAATCTCACTGTACCGGGCCTGCAAAGAGTCTAGCTTTTCTGACAGCAAGCCCTGTTCTGCAGGACATGTCAGGGAGGAGAGGGACTGCCCAGTTCTGACTGCCTGGTGCACATCTGTTGCATGGTTTTCTACGTCTTCCTCCAGAGCCTGGAAATCCAGATGGAAAGAATGAATAACAGAAACAACAAAGTAACTGAAAAGCAAACATGAAACAATGAATAACAAATGATATAACAAATTAAATTTCAAAAATTCATGTATTACAAAAATAATATAAAAATTGGGAACAAAAGTGGTTTTCTTGGATGGCTGCCTATTAGTCAATTTCTATTTTTACTTCAAAGATGTGATTCTTCCCATTAATAATTTGACATAAAACTTAAAACACATCTTACAGAACGCAGTAGGCAGTTTTCTAATTTCTAGGATTTCTAGTCTAGCTTTGTGTTTTCATTTATTGTAACTACTTCTTACCTTGTGCCGAATGATCTGCTGCTGTATTTTGGCAGTCTGAGTGCCAACAGGTTCTGAGTTGGCAAGCTTTTTCTCTGTGACAGATAAGAAGTCAGAAATAGGCTCAGCTGTCTCGTGGAATTGTTTAGCCAGAACCAGGATATCTTCCAGCTGTTTTTGCCTACACAAATATATAGAACAAGCTGCTGAAGCAGAAAGTTACATTAAGACTAATAATAGTAAAAGATTCAGTAACAGAATAGTCTTTAGGAGGTACAGTTCAAAAATACCAATAGTAAACAGAACATGCATTATGTAGCATTGCTGTTTTCAAAGAATTATCTCATTCCAATCTTGTCATAACTTTGTAAGGAGTTAGAATAATTACTCCACTATTATAAGAAAAATACTGGACCCTGAAGGCTTAAAGAAAAATCTGTCCAATCATCTAGTGAATAGCAATAGTATATGAGGGTTATAATCAGATCTTCTAATGCTTTTCTTCTTACACACTGACACAAATCAAAATGGAATGCAGCACCTTTATCACCTGAACATGTGATCAAAATGAAGTTTAAAGAAATCAAAACATCATCAGTCTTCATTTCTCTGTCTCTGTTACCTTCACTTATGAGTGAGGAGAGTGTCTGCAGAGCAAATGCTACAAACTAGAACTCCTTCCCCAGTTCCCAAAAACCAGGTTTAGCAATCTGTAAGTGTGAAGAACTCAATGTAGTAAGACTTAGGGTATCAAAGAGATATGTCAAAATAATTTCAAGTATCAAATATTCAAAATTAAGGAATCCAAGTAAGTCTTTAGAATGTCTCTAACCAACTACTCTTGGTATTTCTCTTTAAAATAATGGTCCAGAAACTACATTGGGCTAGGAGGATGGAATAAGTAGTAAAGAAAACATCATCAAAATGCCAATGAGAAGCAAATCATGACTTAAGAGAGATCATGGACGAGGGAGGTAAGTACATAAAGTATCATCATAATGCAAGGGGCCACTAAAGAGGCAGAAGTTATTCTATGTTAGGGAAATAAAGTTCCCTGGAAAGGAAGATTGATTAAAGCATTTCACGGAGGATGCTGGTAAAGTATATTAAAAAAGAGAACAGGGGCTGGTGCTGTGGTATACTCGGGTAACCCTCTGCCTGCAGCACTGACATTCCATGAGTGCCAATTCACGTCCCAGCTGTTTCTCTTCCAGTCCAGCTCTCTACTGTGGCCTGTGAAAGCAGCAGAAGATGGCCCAAGGCCTTGGGCCCCTACACCCATGTGGGAGACCGAGAAGAAGCTCCTGGCTTCAGATTGGCCCAGCTCAGGCTGTCATAGCCATTTGGGGAGTGAACCAGTGGATGGAAGCCCTCTCTCTGTCTCTCCCTCTCTCTGTAATTCTGCCTCTCAAATAAATAAATAAATAAATAAATCTTTAAAAAACAAAAAAGAGAAGAGAATATATTTAAATATTATATTTACATAATATAAGGATATAAGGAGCAAGAATAATAGTGGAAACTAAGGAAGGCAGGTTAGGGTCAGATAGTAGAGGCCTTTAAATGTTGGGTTAAGAAGTTTGGATTTTGCTTTCTGGGCAACAGGAAGTCATCAAATGATAAAAAGGTTTACCTGCAGCTAGCTGACGGCAAGAGTACCAGAGGGGTCACTGATTAAGTAGGAAGTTACCTCAACAGCTGAGGGGAGAGCTCAGGAGACATGCACTTAAGTAGGAGAGTGGGAATCCAGGAAACACATGACCAGGAAAGACAAATGGACAGAACTTTGCATTCTGATAAATGTGGGGCACAAAGGAAGGATGAAGCGTAAAAATGGGGTTGAGGTTTTAAGCCTAGGTAACTGGAAGGCTAACGGCACCCTTAATGGAAATGGACAGGCAGAAAAGAAAAAAAAAAGTTCTAATCTGGAAATAAAAACAAACTCTTTCAATTTTGTTTCTCCCACTAATATGTGCAAGCCATACTTCACAAATCAGAAATAAGCAAGTCATGTGCAGGTGGAAATGAAAAGATTAATGAGGGAGTTATTTGAAGACTGCCATTGGTTACCTAGAAAACTTAGAGAATACAATAATAAATGATCAACTCTATTATTTTCTTATTGATTTCCACTTAGCTGGCGTTTTTTTAAAACTGGGAACAGTATAAAAGTAAAGACACCCATGTGACTTATTAAGCTCAACTGACATGAGGTTTATCTGTAGTTGTAGAAGGGGAAAGCACTTTCCTGGAGGAAAAAGTGTTCTGCCTGTCTTTTGACCACTTTTACTGAAGAATGTTCATTCACGCATCTCTTGCATGCCTGCACATTTAACCACAGCCTAACTCCTAGAGCCAAAAACACTTAATATTAGGATAAGCTCAAAGAAAAGAAATATGACAAATTTCCATTCCAAGTATCAATAGTGTTATTTATAAATATGAAGGGGAAAAAAATCTGTTTCAAAAACTCAGAGAAGGGCCGGTGCTGTGGTGCAGTGGGTTAACATCCTAGCCTGAAGCGCCGGCATCCCATATTGGTGCCGGTTCTAGTCCCAGCTGCTCCTCTTCTGATCCAGCTCTCTGTTATGGCCTGGGAAAGCAGTAGAAGATGGCCCAAGGCCTTGGGCCCCTCCACCCAAGTGGGAGACCCAGAGGAAGCTCCTGGCTCCTGGCTTCGGATCAGCACATCTCTGGCCGTTGTGGCCAACTGGGGAGTGAACCAGTGGATGGAAGACCTCTCTCTCTCTCTTTACCTCTCCTCTCTCTGTGTAACTCTTTCAAATAAATAATAAGTCTTTTAAAAAAAAAAAAAAACTCAGTGAAAACTTGGCTGGACTGTAGGAATCTGTCATGTGGAGCCTCAATTATGCTGAAGTGCAACACAGATCAGTGAGTCTTCCAGGTTTCAGAGTCATACAAGGAGTTAAAAACTTGTTTCCTTAGAGTGATTCTGCTTATGAGAATCATCTCCAGAAAGTATCATTCTTCAAATCAAAGCTTGAAATGCATTCCAAAGCATGGTATGAGCTGTCCAGGAGCTGTCAGCATACTTTAGCAACAGCAAGTGAAAAACAGGACAAAACAAGCCTCTGACCCATTGCTCCTGGCCCCTGTGCCCTTACCTGGCTGCTGCCTTGCTGAGCAGTTCAGTCCATCTACTTTCGAGACTCTCCAGCTGTCCAGTGATTTTCTCTCTATCAGCCTGCTCTGCTGACTGGGCTATTCTGCCTCCTTCTGCTTGAAGCATGTCTACTGTGGCTTTTCGATCATCCAGGAGCCGTTGGAGCAGCTGTTGTACACATGGTTAAAGAGAACGGAAAGTGGTAATGCAGGGTCACTTAAAAATTCAAAACAGGAAGAAAAAAACAAAAAACAAACCCCAACCTGCCAAATCCTAAGCTTAACTGAATACCAGAAGTTTTCTTCATCCTGAGGAAAAAACATGAGATGTGGCAAGTTTCCATCATCCACATAAACTTTCCACACTAAGGTTTTTAAACGGAGCACTGCGTGTCATTGTGTGACTAACAGGGAACTCCTCTGAACCAAGAGAAAAAGCATATTGAAAATGGATAATATAGGGAGTCGGTGCTGTGGCATAGTGGGCTAAGCCTCAACCTGAGACACCGGCATCCCATATGGGGACAGGTTCATGTGCCGGCTGTTTCTCTTCCAATCCAGCTCCTTGTTAATAGCCTGGGAAAGCAGGAGAAGATGGTCCAAGTGCCTGGGTCTCTGTACTCGTATGGGGGACCCGGAAGAAGCTCCTGGCTCTGGATCAGCTCAGCTCTGGCTGTTTTGGCCACTGGGGAGTGAACCAGCAGGTGGAATACCTTTCTCTCTGTCTCTCCCTCTGTCTGTCTGTAACTCTACCTCTCAAATAAATAAATACTTAAAAAAAAAAAAGAAAATGGATAATATGTGGGGTGACAGATGTTAATTAGCTTAATTATGGCAATGATTTCATAATGTAGATATACATACTAAAACACCATATTGTACACTGTAAACAGTTTTTGTCATCATACCTCAGTAACGCTGGAAAAAATAGTATTTCTTTTGGGATAAATTTCTTTCAAAAAAGGAAGTACACTGAAATAGAAATTAAAACCAAAAAAAAAATAGGAACTTGCCTATGAAATAAAACATTATTTAGAATACTGCTGATCTTGAAAGCATCAAAATCTTCTAAACACAAAGCTATGGATAACACACTGAAGCAGGATACATGAACCAGTAAAACTGTTCAGTCTTATATGCCACAGTAAGCTAGCAGATTAAGATAAAAAAAAAAACAAAAAAAAACAAACAAAAAAAAACCAAAAAAACAGTTTTACCTTTCTTTCCAGGATGACTCAAAGCAGGTTAGGATTGTACTAAAACTCCTAAACTCAAACTTCAAGCAAATGTGTTGTCTACCACTCCCTACGGCTGTTACACTTCACTGTCCCAACGTTCTCACTTACCTTCTGTTCTTGGATCTGTGCTTTTACCACTTTATACTCAGCAGATGGAGGTTTCTGATTGGCTATGAGCTCCTCAGTGTCTGCCAACCAGCTGAGCAATGGCTCCAAGGCATCTTGAAACTTCCCACAATGCAACAAAGCCTCCTGTAGTTGTGCAATTCTTTGTGCAACCTGTATTACAGAAACAAAGGTTCATTATGAGAAAGGAGAGAGCAATTCTTACATCACTACTAATCCCCTTTAGTTACATACAGATCGCAACTGCTAACTTTTTATTTGCATTCAGGTTCCAGGGAAACTGTGGATTCTGATGTCCCTTTTCCATGCTTCCTGTTCCCAGGACACTTGCCACTCACCTTTTTATTCAGTGTGTTCCATCGAGCATTGATCTCTTCCATATCATGTTCTAAACCCTGCACGTCACAGTTTTTTCCTGCACTCTGAATTAATCCCTGGCCAAGTCCATTCACCTGCTGCAATTTCATCTGAAGAGGATCCACTTGTTCTTTCTGAAACATCTGGATAAACGCAAGCCAAAGAAGATTTAATCTAAAGGCCATTAGGTCCAGTATACCATACAATGATCATTCTTGAAAGCTTTGCAATTCAATGAAGGGGGACCAGGAATCAAAAGGGAAAACAAGCCATCTGCACAGTGATGTATCAAGGAAACACATGCTTTCTTACATCGATACATCTTCCTATGAACATGTAATTACAGAGTTATGGTACCACCTAGGTCTTTAACCCAATGTCTCATGGGTTTTTATTTTTTCATTTGTTGTTTAATTTTTAATGTAGAAAGCGATAGGGAATAGAAGAATCAGCTTTAAAATACTGTAAAAGTACAATGTATATAAATCCTGAAAGGGAAGAAATAATACCAAATGATTTCAGATGAAAACTACCTTAGAGAATAGCCTTAACTGGCCACTGATAACAGCAATGCTCTTCTCTGACAATAACTAATTGTCAGAGAGTAACTCATTCTGCCAAAAAATATTAGTGTGAAAAACTCCAACCTCACAGCTTAATCCTCCTGGGGCCATTTAACTTCATTCTGTTCAAGGCCACAGACCACACACAGCCAATAATCTTGAAAGAGTATTTCTCTTATTACAAAGGGAAATGGTCCAGCAATGTTGTGAGGTGTCCTCAACAACTTCAGACACATACTCTGAATAAGATGCAGATATGAGAGGGGCTTGAAAAGTTCATGAAAAAATTAAAATAAAAGACAGCATGGGGCAGGCATCTGGCCTAGTAGTTAAGATGCGGAGTAAGATGCCTGTATCTCACTCCAGAGTGCTTGGGTGCAACACTTAACTCCAGCTTCCTGCTAATGGACTCCCTGCGAGGCAGCAGTGATGGCTCGAATACTTAGGTTCCTGCCACCTATGTGGGAGACTTGGATTGCATCCCCAGCTCCCAGCTTTAGCTGCTTTGGGCATTTGAGGAGTGAGCTTTGGATCAGAGCTCTCTCTTTCTGCCAAATAAATAAATTTAATAAAATAATGTGAACGTTTCATGAATTTTTTAAGCCCCCTTGTGCATGCATATATGAGTGTGTATAAATATATATCACAAATACTGTACAAAATACTGTATATCCATGTTTATCATAAAATGGAATTCTAAAATAATGTGAACAAGTATAACCAGCAACGTGCATATCTTTCTCTACTAAAGCTCCATTATGATTTAGATATTCCTAAAAGTAAACAAAAAGTCAGAAGAAATGTTATTTACATTTTTTTTCTTCCATAGAAAGTTTCTTCAGTTTCAGTGAAACAAGTGAGTTAATTAAGGCCAGAGGATGACAGAAAACAGAAAATACAAAAATAAATGTAGAAGAAAAGTGTAACTTTGGGTACAACTAAATTTTGGGAAGTATTTTCAAAAATGTTTATTTTCATCTACTTGAGAGTCTCTTTCTCTCTGACACACAGACAGACATACACACACAGAGACACACTCTTCATCTGCTGGTTCATTCTCCAAATGCCTGCAACAGCCAGGGTTGGACCATGCAAAAGCACGAACCAGGAACTCCATCCGGGTCTCCCACGTGGATAGTAGGGGCCCAAGCACTTGAACCATCATCTGCTGCTTCCCAGGATGCATTAACAGGAAGGTGGATTAAGTGGAAAAGCCGGGACTTGAACCAGCACAAGTGGATTGTGGCGTTCCAAGTGGCCACTTAATCCAGTGTACTACAAGGGCTGCCCCTAATTTTGATCTATATGTGAGACCATATGAGGGTTATGAACCTGATTCCATAAAGAATGGCCTATGGCTGGATAAATGAGTCACTAGCGAGGAAAAGCTCCAGGGAACACTGAAGAAGGAAGGTTACAAAGACAACTGCCAGAGCACTTCATTGTAGACTATAATTTGATTATACCATATTTTGTTAGGCAACACTACAAGAGTATTTAGCTAAAATGACTGTTTCTCCAACAACATGGTTCCCAGAAAAACCAAGTGCTATAATTCCATTTTATGACATTAAAGATGCTTTCACTGAAGAAAAATCAGAACAGAAAGGGGGAAAGAAGTTTAAAATTGTTGTGTGCATAAAAATGATGGTGGTGATTGGGCAGAATGGAGGTTAGAAAGGCTTGGCAAAAATCCAAAGGGATAGACAGAAGACATCAAGTTCACAATGAAGGGCCCTTTTTCACCCAATAATTAAATTCTGTCTCATACTTTTTTTTTTTTTAAGATTTATTTATTTATTTGAAAGGTAGAATTACAGAGAAGGAAAGGCAGAGACAGAGACAGAGACAGAGAGAGGTCTTCTATCACTGGTTCACTCCCCAGTTGGCCACAATGGCCAGAGTTGTACCAATCTGAAGCCAGGTCTCCCACATGGGTACAGGGGCCCAAGGACTTGGGCCATCTTCTACTGCTTTTCCAGGCCATAGTAGAGAGCTGGATCGGAAATGGAGCAGCCAGGTCTCGAACTGGCACCCATATGGGTTGCCAGCACTGCATGCAGCGGTTTTACCCACTACGCCACAGTGCTGGCCCCATGACTGCTTTTTATAAACTCTTTCTGTGCTGTCCAATATGGCAGCCATTAGCTACACAGAGCTATTTAAATTTAATTTAAATTAAACTAACAATTCAGTGGCTTAGTTACACTAGCCACATTTCATGTGGTCAACAGCCCCATGCAGCTAGTGCCTACTTCACTGGATCATAGACAGACAACACCTCCATCACAGCACAAAGTTCTAGAGGGCTAGGCTATACATGATGCAGAAAAGTGAAATACATTCAAATAACATGCCAATCTCTCATACAATGGAGTTAGTTCTTCTTTTAAAATTTGGATTTACTTTATGAACTTTTCCTATAGAAGCATTCACTATACCTTTCTTTGTCTCATCATTCTTCAGAAGTTGAAAATTATATTAAAGTACCTCTAAATAACCATTTATTTAGATTTTCATTATGAACACAAGAAAACAGAACATTAAAGAAAGTAAAATTGGAGGGTCCGGTGCTGTAGCATAGGGGGAAAGCCGCCGTCCACAGTGGCAGAATCCCATATGGGTACCAGTTCGACTCCCGGCTGCTTCACTTCTGATCCAGCTCTCTGTTGTGGCCTGGGAAAGTAGGGGAAGGTGGTCCACATCACTGGGCCCCTGCACCCACATGGGAAGACCAGGAAGAAGCTCCTGACTCCTGGCTTCGGATCCACACAGCTCTGCCATTGCAACCAATTGGGGAGTGAACCACTGGATGGAAGACCTCTCTGCCTCGCCTCTCTCTGTGTAACTCTTTCAAATAAATAAATAAATCTTTAAAAAAAAAAGGAAAATTGGAAACACTTTTCCCTTCTCTCAACTCCCAGATAAAGCTGTTTTTTAAAACCAATACTTTTAGGCATGCTGAAATCCTCCTTCTTAGTGTTTCACACATGGTTAGTGAAATGGAAGTGGCTGTGCTAACTAAGCAGCAGTGGCAGAAAATGTCCAGACCAGTACACTAGCGAAAATTACTGCAAGGCTGTAAGATGCAACAAGAACACAAAACAGGTAACTTCCCAAAGAACTTCCTGAAACACTTCTATCTGTGGTGATACTGCATTCTTGCAGTTTCATGCTGATTCGTTTTAATGTCCTTAGTTCTCTTTCTGTTCTAGACCTCCAAATTCTGGAGTCTTTGTGGGTAAATGTGGCCAGGCTGTCAGTCTGAAGCCCTAGTCTCAATTCTGTTCTCTCTCTAGGCAATTTTATCCATTCTCATGGCTTTATTAATCATGATAAACACTTAGGACTCTCAACTTATATCGCTCTTCTGAGTTTCAAATCTATATGAGAGTTCTTGAAAAAGTTCAGAGGGGTCAACATTGTGACACAGCAGGTTAAGCCACCTCTTGTGACATCTGCATCCCATGCTGGGGTGCTGGTTCAAACCCAGACTGATCTGCTTCTGATCCAGCTCCCTGCTAATGAGCCCAGGAAAGCAGTAAAGACAGTCTATGTATTTGGGCCCCTGCCACCCATTTTGGAGACCTGGGTGGAGTTCCAGGCTCCTGGTGTCAGCCTGGCTCAACCCTGGCCCAACCCTGGCCAATGTGGCCACTGGGGTAGTGAAGCAGCAGATGCAAGATCTCTTTCTTTCTCTGTGTCCCTCGTCTCTCTGCCACTCTGTCAAATAAGTAAGTCTTAAAAAAAAGTTGTTCATGGAAAATAGGGTTATAAGACATTGGAGTCAGCATTGTGGCACAGCAGCTAAGCTGAGTGAAACAGTAGATGGAAGATCGACCATTTTCTCTCTGCTAACTCTGCCTTTCAAACAAATAAATACATCTTAAAAAAAATTTTTTTTAATTAATGCATTCCCTGGGAAGGCAGTGGAAGGTGGCCCACTTGCTTGAGCTCTTGCCACCTGGCTCTTGGCTTTGGCCTGACCCAGACTTGGCTGTTGTGGCCATCTGGGGGTGAATCAGTGATGGAAGCCATCTCTCTTTCCCTCTTTCTCTTTGTTTGCTCTTTCAAATAATAAGTATTAAAAAAAAAATCACGTATTCCCAGGCATCTTCAAAAAGTGTGTGAAAAAAAGATATTATGAAGAGCTATGCACAAATTCTAAACTTTTTTGCACAAAATGTATCTTTTAATTCCATTTTCCATGAACTTAGTTACTTATTTATTTTAAAGGTGGAGTTACAGATAGGCAGAGGTGGAGAGAGAGATAGGGAGACGAAGGGAGGGAGAGTGAGAGCGAGAAGTAGGTCTTCCATCCTCTGGGTTCACTCCCCAAATGGCCGCAATGGCTGGGGCTGGGCTGGGCTAAAGCCAGAAGATAAGAGCTTCTTCCAGGTCTCCCATGTGGGTTGGGGCCATCTTCCACTGCTCTTCCCAGGCCATTAGCAGGGAGCTGGATCAGAAGTGGAGCAGCAGGGATGCAAACCAGCGCCCACATGGGATGCTGGCATTGCAGGCGGTGGTTTATCAGCTACGCCACAACGCCGGCCTCATAAATGCTTTCTTAATGTCTTCAT